TCAATCTTCCAAAAGCATCTCAAAAAAAAAAAAATGACTTTATAAAACTATTATGAAATTTTAGTTGATTCATTTTTTGCAATTTCTATTTACTTAAAATACCAATTATATTAGCAAATTAATTAAATTATTCTAAAAAAAATGGATTATTACCCTAATTATTTCCTAACACTTTTCTAATGATTTCATTCCTTTATAATTATAAAAAAGTTTGGCATTAGTTGAATTTTTTATTATTGAAGATTCAATTAAAACATTCTTTGATTAAAAAAATAAAGGAAATCTACTTACTAATCCGTTATTTTCAATCTAAATAAATTATTAAATTAATATCGAATTCTTATTTTTTATTTCACTGTTCTGGTCCAGTTTATTATTTTGCTTCATCTACTACTTATAAGATCTTTGAATCGCGATAAGTATTACTATTAAAATTTCCTTTATTATTCACTATTTGAGAATTCAAATATTACAATAAATTATAATAATTATCATAAATTTGTTTTCTTAATATTCTGGCCATTTATGTATTTCTTCATAATTTATTTTAATAAATATAGATTGATGATCTTGAGTTTTCTTATTTTATTAATATTGATAAAAATATTATTTAAAATGACAATTCTGTTTTTATTAAAGAACTTATTTTGCTTATTATCACTTTGAAATTTAGAAGGATTATTAAAATTGCTTTGAATTTCAATTTTAGCTTTGTTACTACCAATATGTTAGTGAATATTTAGATTATGAAAATTTATTTAAAATAATATAACCAGAAGAATATAAAAATCTGACATATCTTTTAAGTATTATTGATGATTAAAGTACTTCTTATATATTCATTTTATAGAAATAGAATTCTTAAAATTGCAAAATGTATAGAATTTAATTATATTTTAAATTTAAAACAATTTATTAAAAATTTGACTTTGTTGAAATATTTTTTAGTGTAAACTTTAATGTAAATCAAAATTATATAAATTGATTGACTTTCCACTTTCTTTATCATTTATTCACTGATTAAAAAAGATCAAGCTAGGAATTAAGGCTGCAACAATTCTAATTTTTTTTTCGATTTTTTTTCTTTTAATTTAATATTAATAATTTTTAAAATACTAAATGATATGCAACTAATTTAATATTATTTTTAAAGGGAAATTAGATGGGTTGAGGTTGTTTATAATAATACTATAAAATTAAATTGGAAATTTAAGTAAAAGAAAATCTGGTCATTGGTTCCAAAACTATCATATTGATTATGAAGATCTGTTTCACTAATAAAAATAACATAGATTATATATTCAATTAATTACAAACATTAAATGGTGATAATTATTATCAATTTAAATATTAGAAATGAAATATTTTCTATTGAGAATTGAATTGTTCAACTTATTCTTACTAATTTAGTTTTACTTGGTTAAATAAAATGAATGTCTTTATGAGACCTATGAGAATTCATTATTGAGTTAAGAAGCCCCACAAGAGACTCATTATTTCAACTCTGCAGGTATGGATTTTTCAAAGGGTAATTCATTTTCTTTTGGATTTTGGAGTTAATGCATACCTTTATGGAATCCTTTAAGCTATCCAAGAATATAGGGGGAATACAGAAAAGATTTGACAGAGAATGGGTAATTTTTGTACCAAATATAAAATGGCAATAAAATATCAGTCATCTCATATATTGTTTTTGACTTGCAAAATTTAAAATTAGAGCATTATGTAAGTATATACAATAATAAAAATCCAATATATCTGAAATTTAATTATCCACCTTAAGATTATGAGGGTAGATGGATTTTCACATTTGTAACAATACAGCCTTAAATTAGGAAAATTATTATCTAGAGTGATAATTAAGGAACTAATATATCGCCTTTAGAAATAATTTCTAATGATTTTATGATTGTTTTAGGAGGAAGAGGATATGTAAGAAATTATTATTATTATTATAGACTGAAAAAAAACTAAATTTAAATATTTTCAAAGGAAGGTTGTCTAAGATGTTGTTGAATAATATTTGGTTTTTTAATGAGAATATGCGCAATTCTATTACTTCTACTTGTAGAATACCTTAAATTTCAGATACAGAATAGAGAGTAGAAATAGTGAAAGGATTTTAATATTTTAGTGGGTATGGTTAAATTTAGGGTAATTTTGATTAATTTGGAAATAGATATTGTATATCAGGTTGGATTAAGATTGACATCACTTAAATTAATTATTATTCAAAAATGCCAGTTATTAGGATCACTGCTTTTAAAAACTATGGTAGCGGCAAAAATATAGGGGATGAATTGATGAAATTGGAGATTGAAGTAAATAAAAATACCCCAGATAAAACTCAATACATTTTAACAAATAATTTCTATGGATTACCTTTTTAGAGTTTATAGAGTTAATATCCAGATTTAAATCCAGTTTTAAATCTTAACTAGTGTTGTGACTATTATTTAAATGGAATTCAATAATGGCATTTTATATAATACGAATATGGTAGGTCATAAAGCCATGATAAAAACTTGATATAAATTCAGTTTTCTAATGAATTAGGATTGCAATCATTTCCAACAGGATCAAATAAATATTAATCATCATTTATAAATTCTAAATTTTATTATGTTTTTGGTGGAGATTACTTTTCTAATAATATGCTTTAGGCTTGGGTGAGCGATTTTAAATTTGAGTTTAATTACTAAGATGATAGGCAATTAATGAACAATGGTATTTACTAATTCATAATACTAGTTTGTTATTACTCTTGTAAAACTTGTAATGGACCTTAATAAACAAATTGTTTATCTTGTATACCTGATTCAAATAGAGTATACATACCTGAAGAAAATAAGTGTTTATGCTAATAAGGTTACATTGATTATGATGGATAAGTACAATGTATGAAATTTGAATATAGATTTCCTACAATTTCATCAGAGTTTGTATTGAATTAAGTAAAGCAATCTTGTTAATTTGGATACTTTTTAGTACCTGAAAACAATGAATGCATAAAATGGTAAAATCAATTTTATCTCTAGCCCTTAAGACAGCAAAAATGATTTTTTATGTATTGATTGCCTATAATTTCCTTTAACTTGGTCTGAAAAATCTATCTGCACCAAAGATTTAATCAATTATGGATAAACATCTGATAGTGCTTTTAAAATAACATTCAAGAATGAAAAGGATTATGACTTTTATTTTATTGATGGTTAAAATTAGATGAAACTCTAATTAGGGTATTTGGACTACTGTGATCCAGATCGTAAAGAGTTCAAATGTGTTTTATCTAGAGAACAAAATTAAGGGTAATATTATTATGTTAGATGTAAACCTAATTATTATATAAGCAATAATGATTGCTTTGAAATAAATCTAAATTGTTTAGAAGCTTATGATAATGGAGATTGTAAAAGTTGTATAGATAATATGTATCCTGTTAATAATAACTGCTATAATTGTCCTTTAAATTGTTAATCTTGCGAATTCAACAAAATTGATAAAGAGGTCCATTGTACTACTTGTTTTGATAAATATACTTAACAGAATAAAGGATGTTAACCATGTGGCTCATATTGTCAGGTATGCCAAGACTACTATGATAAAAATATTCAATATTCATATCTCAAGTGTTTGAAATGCGTAGATGATACTAAATACTATCTATCATTTGATGGAGTAAATTGCTAGGAAAATAAAATTGAAAATTGCTAATATGCATTTCAATATTTAAAATCCGATTAAAAAACCAACACTCTTGATAAATACTTCGAACTTTAATTTGATTAATAAAATATTATAACATCATGTGCTAGATGTGTTAATAATTCTATCCTAGTGGTATCCTACTAATTGTGTTTATATGTGAATAATCCTTCTTGCACTTTTGGATATGCTTAATCATTAGTTTAATGCGATTTATAATTAAGTAATTTCGCTTACTCAAAAACAACAGGAGATGTTTGCACCACATAATAGATTTGCTTAATTACTAATTCTACAGTTGTGGATGAGGTATAATTTACTGAATCCTGCTCTGAATTTTCATAAATTCCCTAATGTGAAATCTGCATAGAAGGAAAATTTTCAGTATCTGACTAAAAAAAAGTTTATAAATGTTTGAGTTGTTCAAACGGATATTATTAAGATTAAATAGCAGGAAAATGTTTTACTTGTCCTTCTGATTTAAAATGCCTTTCATGCTACTAATAACAGAAAACTGCTTAGGATAACTGGAAAGTAGGCATAAGAGCATATTATAAAGTATTTATTGAAAAAGACGATGAGCATCCTTATTCTGAATATGGTTAAAGTTAAAGTCAATAAGACTATGAAATAAAATGTAGTCAATGTATTTCTGGATATGAATTAATGAATGATCTATGTGTTAAGTCGTGTTCTGAAAATTGTTTAAAATGCTAATTTATAAATGGATAATATATCTGTTTAAAATGTAAACTTGGGCAATATGGTAGGCAATTAACTCTGATGGATAATTAATGCATCGAATGCTCTTCCAATTGTGCTTTGTGTCGGGTTAGATCAAATGAGGAATTGTATCAAATCAATCCATTATTTAAAAATCCAAGGTATATGAAATATGCTCATTAATGTCTAAAGAGTTATTCTGATAACGGATAAACGTATGATTAGTAGTTAGGAATGTTTGTTAACTGTTTGGATTAAGATTTAGGTTGTTTTTTATAGTATAGTATGAATTTAAATTTGTATTGTTCTTCATAAGAATTTGAGAAAGATAGAGATGCTATTGTTGATTCTTTTTAAAAATAACGTTTTTAACTTGAAAATATTTTAATTGATGATTTGATATCAGGGCAAAGCTTTAGAGAAGTAATTTTTATAATTATCTAGTATGAAAACGATTTGTTTTACTTTTAAGCAAATGAGAAATATGTTAAATCTATAAGAATAATAATCTCAAGTAATATAAGTTAGACATGCATCATTCCAGATGGCTCAAAGATATAATAAGTCTTCAGTGAAAACATATTTTCGGCGATGTATTTTTAATATTTATTCTTAGCAATGTTGAATTATAATTCAATTTTCTGCATGAAATTCAATTTATATACGAAAGAGTATTTTAAATTTCGAATTTCAATTCTATTAAAATAAGCAATCTTAAATTAATACCATAATCTAGTGATAAACTAAAATAGCTAATTTTCATTAGTTGTTTTCCTCTCAACGTTGAGCTAAACAATATAGAATTTACCTCGGAAAGTCCGGTTACTCAATCATAGATTTAATTTTTAAACGTTTCATCGCTTACAATTAATACATTCATACTTAATGGAGTCATTCTTTAGAAAAGTGATTTCTTCATGACTATCGCCTAAACTGAATTTAAAAAGATTATATAGATCAACGACTTCTAATTATTGAATTCTAAACTTAATGGAATTAAACTTTTAAATCTTGACTTAGCCTAAAATGACAGTTTTAGTTTATAAAATTCAATTTTCTAAGGAAATTTTTACAACTCAAGCATTGTTAAAACTACTGAAAATAAAGTTATTGGCACAGCTTTTTTGAATTAAATTTAATTTGAGAGTGATTTATAAGAGTGTTAATCCATATTTAATCTCTTTTGGTTTATTCATTTGAAAATCTCAAATTTTATTATATAAAATTCATAGCTATTTAACAGCTCATTAATAGAATTAAATAACAATAGTACTTTAAGTGAAATCCTATTTTCGAAATGTCAGTTAATAGAATAGTCAATTGGAATAATAAATTCAGAAGTACTCTCTTACATCAATTAATTCTTTTTGTAAATCACTAATATTAAATTTGAATCTAATACGTATGAGGAGACTGCTAAATTAATGAAGTTTCACAAATTCAATTTCCTCTCATCATAGCTTCAAATAAAAAATATTTCAATAATAAATAATGAGATGATCAACGTATCCCCATTATTCAATCTACGTCTGTAAGAATCTTCATTAATATATTTGTCTATAGAGGAAATCGATATTAATGGATTAAATATTATAAGAGGGCAAGGGTTGACTGACATAAGTATAATTGAAACATAATTCATTTAAATAAAATCTGCCATTATTACTTAAGGTTATGAATATAAACTCCATATCCATCAATACTTGGATTGCTAACTCAAATATATTAAGGGATAGTATTATTTATAATCAATCTTTATATATTCTTGCTTAAATCTGATTATCAACGATATGATTATCAAAGATGTTTCATCTAATAATTCTCCTATTATTTAATATCAATCAGCATAGCTATCGGCAGTACAATAGTCAGAAAGCATCACAATCTCTAATTTATTTGCTTAGAATAATCTTTTATTGATTACAGAATAATAATCTTCCACAAGCATCATAAAAATAGAGTCTGTGTAGGTGACTACTCTTTAGATTAATAACTTTACATTTATCAATAATATTATGCATGAATACATCTAGGATAATTTGAAGGTTTCAGCATTAGGATTTAACTTTGACTGCCAGTAAGCTTCAATCATTCTAATGAATTCAAAACTCTCTAATAATATTGTATTTAATAGCACAGATAGCTTAATAATGATAAAAGGTAAGTCGCTGATCCTAAGTGATTGTTACTTTTTTAACAATTCAATATTTGATTATTCCATACTTCAACCACATATACTTTGGAGTTTTTCAACTTCGGATTAAATATATTTAGAAGATATATAAAAAATCTTTCAAACTAAATCATCTACTGGAAATGCTTAATTAATTGTAGAAGAATTAAAAATAATAAATTGCAAATTTAAGAACTCTTAAGGGTCTTATGGAGGAGCGCTTCAAGTAATTGCATAAAACTATTGCAGGATTTATTTGAGTAAATTGAGTTTTAAAAATATAATGACATCATTTTAAGAAGAAAATGAATAAGGAGGTAGTATTTTTATCGACTCTTCAGCATCATTATCTTTAAATCTAACGATCAATGATATCAAAGCTGATACAATCTTTAGTAGATATTAAGGAGGTTTCTTGTATTTGAAAGCAGGATCTAAAAATATCAATGTTGAGATGGGTAATTTAATATTAAATAATATACATTCTTTGTAAGGTTCAATAATTTATATATAATTCTAAAGTTAATCAAGTTATTCTAAGAATATATATATTAATAATTTCATAATCAAGAATTTCTAAAGAGAACTTTTATAATTTTTAAATAAATATGAGGAGATTAGTGCAAATCAAGAATATGCCTTAAATAATAATCGAACTTTATTTTTTATTGAATTTGGGGAATCAATTAATTTTTAAAATGTATATATTGAAAATCTGCTTTATGAATCTTTTCTTTTTCTGAGTTCATCAAGAAGAGTAAACTTAAAAGATTTATAGATTATCAATTCCAAGTTATCAAACTTTTTAATTCTTATTGAATCTAACCAATGTAAACTATATATTATAATTTAGTTTAATCTAGTTTAATTAATTTAGATAATATTTTGATAAAAAATACTTCAGTGGGTTATTTTTAAATTCTCCAAAATAATTGTTCTTCAATTTCAAATCAGTATTAATTAGCTTCAAACACCTTTTAATGTTTAGTTTTTGATTCATAGATTTCAGCACCTTCAAAACTAAAAATGTTTTATGATTCCTAATCTACAAATGATTTATGTTGGAGAAATCTTAACAAAAATCTAACAGACATGGCTGAATCAGGTCTTATATTACTGTCTTAACTCTATGATGATTAGATAGAAGTAAAAAACCTACACATAACTGAAATTAATTGTTCACTTTGTCAAAGAGGGTTATTATCATTTAAGTATAGAACTACAAATAAAATCCAAAAATACTCTTCTGTATTAAATCTATTAATTAAAAACTCATCATGCGGGCAAAAAGGATGTTTTAATCTTATTAAAGATAAATAGAATAGATTACTTTATTAATATTATGAACAATAAAAATTTCTTTTACAATTTGAAAGCATAATCACAAATTACATATGTGAAAATAATTCATGCAAAGAAGGTACATGTTTAAACTCAGAGAATATCACTATCTACTTGTAGGATTCCAATTTCTAATTTAATAATGCTTCTTTAAGAGGTGGGGCCATTTACACAAACTCTGAGATCTTAATGTACAATTGCTTGATATCAAATAATCAAGCAAATATAGGAGGAGGAATTTTTCAATAGGAATCTACATAGTATCCAGCTAATTATAATTAAATTTACAACAATAAAGCATTAAATTATGGAACTAATATTATATCCACTCCCCAAAAATTATCTCTCCAATTGAATGCCAATGGGATGTTTTCGACAACTAGATTGACAAATGAAGAAAATTTAATTATAGATTAAGTTTATGTTCCTCCTTATAAAACAATTTAAGGGGCGAAATCTCAATATTTACTTGTACCGAGTGGATAAAGTATTGCTAACTATAGATATTTCAATTGGAAGGATCGATAGTACATCCCATCCAACTAGACCTTTCGAATTATTCCATTAAATTAAGAAGATTAGATTATAAAAAGTTTATCTGATACTTTTTGTAGAATATAAGGTAGAATACACAACTTCTCTGAAAACAAAACAGATTCTGAGAATTTCTAATATAACTTTACAAATATTAATTACACTTATTTTAATGATTCAACTTAGGATTATAATTGGGATGATTTAGTCATATATTTAGATAATGAATTACCTTCTCATATGTCTTTATAATTAGAATTTAGTTGTAATTCAATTTAAATTCCTATTTTTAATAAAGTTGCACCCTATAATCTTCAAGGCAATCACAATAATTATAAATTAAGGGTTGAGGTTCGATCATTACCATGCTAATTTGGTGAAATTAAGAGTGTTATCAACTTCTCTTGCATTCTATGCGATAATAGTCTAGGCTTATTTTCTATAAAATAGAATTCTCCTAAATGTGAAGTGAAAGATGATGTATCCACTATAAGTGTGAATTCATCTTAATTAAATTTAAAATAAGGATTTTGGCGACCTTTTATAGATACCAGCAAAGTATCTGGCTGTCTTAATTTACTCAGTAATTGTTTGGGAGGATTAATAGAAGGTGATGAATCATGTTCAAGAGGACATATCGGAGCATTATGTGAATAATGCGATTTGTATAATACCAGAGGGGATGGAGAATTTTCTGTTGGCTAAAGATTTGTTTGTGGTTCCTGTTAAGAGACATAAAGAAATACATTAATTATTACATTAGTTAGTTTTTGGTAATAATATCATCTTATTGAAGGACTTTAATCTCTGTTTTCATTTCTGTTTAAGGAACAATAAAAGCAGCCCAGAATATAATGCCAGATTTTAAGTTTGTATTTCATTGTGCTTCATATTTTCATTAGGATAATTCTGCAATTTTAATGAAACTGTTAACAAATTATTTATAAATTCTGGATACTATAAGTACATTTTAAATAGACTTTTCCGATGAGGTATAAGGTACTTTATAGACAATTAGTTCGCCATTTGAATCTATGATTTATTCTTTAGATTGCTTTCTATCAAATGCCTTCGCATATGATATACACTATGCAAGAATGATTTGGGAACTGATCACACCTTTCTTTTATACTGGCTTCTTCTTTTTCATTTACTTTGTTGCCTTTAAATTTGGATATGCAATTTTCAACAAAAGTGTCATTACAACAACTCTCATTTATATGTACATATATTTATAGCCTACTTTGATTGGCGGATTTATGCTATTAATTTCCTTTAGGGAGATCTCAGATTATAAATGGATTTCTGCAAATGTATCTTAGAGATATGACACATACATTCATCAATAGTGGATATTTAGGTTCTGTATACCTACGCTTCTTTTATTTTCCATTGCTATACCTCTCTACTTATTAATTGGACTTTACTAAAACAAAAGTAAGTTTAATAGAAAATTGGTCAGGCAGAGTTGGGGATACTTATATATAGAATATAGAAATATTGCTTATTATTGGGAAATAGTTAAAATATTCCAAAGAGAATTGATTATCCTGTCTTTGACATATTTTGAGGATAGTATTCTCATCAAAGCTATAATTGTGATTTTGATTTTAATCCTTTACCTAGAGTTGAACAAAAAATTTAAACCTTATAATGTAAATTACTTAAATGAGCTGGATTATTTTTTAACTAACACGTGTATAACTTCAATAAATTTGGGAATAGGGTGTTACTTCTCATAATCTTCAGGTTCAACAGTGATCTCATATATATTTATAATAATCTTACTTTGCTTGAATATATATTCCATTTCATACCTACTATCTAAAATTATCAAAGAATTTTTAAGGTAACAAATTAATGATTTGGAGTAAAAACTAAATGCTCTTAAAATGAAAATAGCAAGATTTCTACCATGTTTGATGAAATTTAAGATAATTTCAAAAATATTAAAAAATCACAAAGTGAAAAAAGAAAGGTAAAAGTATTTAATTAAGAAATTAAAATCATATCTTTTGAGGGTTGCTAAATAAATCATCATATTAAAAAATTAAAAAAAATACAATTTTTATTAATCTGATAATCATTGTGAATAATTTATAGATTCTAGAACTATAACTCCCATAATTTCAAGTTCTGAAAAGAATCTTTGCTAACATCATTTGGTGAAAACTAATTCCCTGATCGTGTTATAATAATAAAGAGTTAGTATTCAAATCATAGATTAAAAGTATAATTTATATGTTAAGATTAAGGCCTACGATGTAATTTAATATAAATGTTAACGATACAATATCTGGTAGATAAAATTGAAATTTACTAATAAATATTGGATTAAGCAATTTGTTATTTAAAATCGTATAAATTTTATAAATTATTAAATTTATTTTATGTTTTTTAAATTTGGTAGAAAATTACTTCAAAAACTAAATTGATTAATTAAATTCTTTTCAAATACCTGATCTTTTTTAGATGAAGATTATTCTAATTTACATAAAGAAATGATATAGTTATATGAATATAAATCTAATAAACCAAACTCATTCATATATGGATATCATATTTTTAGTTCTTTTCTCCCTTTTAATAATCTCCCTAGATTATTTGAATTACTTTAATTTAGTTTTAGCATTATCAAAAACTTTTGAATATTTTGAAAATTTCTAATATTAAGATAAATCTGAATACTTTCTCTAAAAGATGTTGAGGAACAGAAATTAAACCATCTGTGATTGCTTTGTTAATAATTTGGAATTCTTATTTTTTTTTCATTTCCTCACTTTTTACTTTTGAGATTAGCACTTCAAAGCTGGTTGGATGTAATTTTGTATACAAATCTCTGAACTTCTTTTAATCATCAGCATCAAATATTTCAGTAAATAAAGTTTTGGGAATAAATAAGACAAACGAATCTTCTGCTGCATCAATGGTTTCAGTTCTTTTTTTTAATTAAAGTTATTCAAATGTTACTATCTCATAGTATCCTAATAAGGATTAGGCTTTATATTGCAAAGGTATTCGTTAGCAAGTAGTGATGGTTTTCTTTTCCCATTCTTTAGCTCCAATGGGCCATCTATTAGATTCCTCCAGATCAACAACCACATTCTTAACTAAAGTTCCATTTTTCACAATATAAAAGTTATCTACTTAATCACCAGCTTTGTACAAGCAATCTTTCGTTGACATGAATCTACCTTTTAATTCATCACACATTCTCTCTATTTTATGAGGATGAAAACTATCAAAAAAATGAATTGTTTCAACGAACTTCTTCCATTTTGGTCTTTCAATCTTGAATAAATTATTTAGACATTATTAAAAGTCCCATCGTTATAATTTCAAAATATGAGACTCAAATGTAGTTGTCAAGGTAGCATTTCTTGGTGCATCCGTTTCTAGTGCACTTCTTCCAACATGTTCATTACTACCAAAGACCTTCAGTAATTTACCCTTTGATATTGAAATGATAGTACATCAGAACTAATGACATCCACTTTTCCTTTAAATATTATGAACATGCATTCTCCTTTTTCTCCATATCTACAAAGTGTTAGATCATTTTCAGTTTTCAATTCAATGTAGGTTAAACGACCTCCCAATTCCTTTAACATTTCTAAAGGCATCAATTTGAATAAACTCAAGGTCTAGAGATAGAGTGCCACTATGGTTTTTTGACCATCATCCCTTCTAAATGATTCGCTTTTACAGATTGAGACAATTTTCAAATGGATATCAAAATCTCTATTACTAAAATAATGTTTTACTCATGTTATTTCCACTTTTGGAAATCCTATCTCTCCTCCATCCATTTAGGGAAATTGAAAAAGTAATTGTTAGGTAAAGAGGTAATTCTATTTGTTAAAGTTCTAGCGCTGAAGTTTCGATTATTAGTGGTAGTTGTTTTTTTTGTCAAAAGAGTCCTTTTAGTAGAATTTGAATCAAGGATAGAAGTATTAGTTTAAAGTCGACTCATGTGCAAATTCAAGTTCAATTTACTTTGTGGGGTTTGATTTAAAAGGACACTCCTTGCATCTTATTTGGTTTACTCAATATATGTATTCATCAATTTGCTTTTTTCAATATTGTGATCTGTTTCAAATCTCAATTTTCCAAATCTCCTTCTCATTTCATGAAGTTCTTTCTCTTCCTTTTCTCCGAAAGTCTCATACATTATTTAATAATAACAAATTAATAAATCAAATAAACAATACAATGGAAAAATTACTAAATTTATATCTTCATCATTTCTATTTACATATCTTTAATTATCTATTATATAATTGTTAAATTTTTGGTTCTTGAACTTCTTCAGGTTGATGATTTTTTGATTTTATTAAAAATCGAAAAAATGCTAAAATAAACTTTTGCCACAACTCCACTGATGAAGTCGAATAGATCTATCTTGAAGTTATTTGAGCCCCATTTGAGGGTTAAGTTATTAGTCTTTCTAAAAATCAATTACAATTTTTACATTCTTTTTGAGGGGAATCATTAGGATCTGTATGACAATGTATCCTATTGGGTTAAGTCAATTGTTTTTTTGACCCCAAATCTTGATTCATCATTTAATTTTGAGCTTGACTATTACTTTAAAACTGATTCTAATGTTAAAACACATTGTAGTAATCTTCCTCATCATTCAAGAAGATTCCAACATTTATATGTGTGTGATTCCCTCCTATAAAAAAGTTTTATTGCGTAGGCTATTATGGCAAAGTGTGCTATGCAGATTTTATAAAGGATCTAGAAGGAGTATAATTTCCTTGGGACATTATAGGTGTTTAAAAGGATGATCTATAAGAAGGCTTTAATAATTCTTCCAAATCCGTTTGATTAGACTTATAATAATTCAAAGAAAATATCCATTATCTTCTTTTAGGTTCAGATTCTGCCCCAAATACTATTCTAATTTCATTCTTCTTTACATTTGGTTTTTTTTTAAATTTATCATAGATTTAATCAAAAAAGCCTTTTTTTTAATCTTCTTTGTCACTGTTTTCATTTTCCAATTCATTAATTTGTGACATACCACTCTTATTTTGTTTATTTGGCTATTCAAACTTTTGGACCTTCAAATAAGATCCAACAACTTAAGCCTTCTCATCTATAACTATTTAAAATGGAAATGGGTGAGATGGAATAAATGGCAAATCTTTATCATTTGAAATTCTCATTTTACTTAAATCAATGCAATGTTTTAAACTGACTGTATAGAAATGTATTTTCCCTTCATTTAACACCATCAAATGCTCTTTGAAAACAAGTTACTTGAATTTCTATCTAATTTTTTCTAATGGTTCATTATTCATTTGACATAATTCCACAATCCCTGAATAATTCTAGGATGGATCAATAGAAGTCTTAACTTCATGAAAAATCTGTTCTATTTCTCTTATATCCCAAGATTTTATTAATGTTATTTTTGTTTATGTTTGTTCCTTCAAAATAAAAGAATGACTAAAAGGGTTTATTTAACTGCTAGCATTTTCTGTTTGAATAGGTCTTTGCAATTCAGGTTCCCTCTCATGATGTCCTGAATTTAACGAATTCGTTTTTCTATGCACTCCTTTGGTAGGAACAGTGACCAACTCTAATAAGCAAATAAATTCTGTATTCTAAACAGAATGATTAATCTTAATGGATTCTGGTTTAACTGCTCTTAGATACCTTGTACTTTAATCTATTTGTAAGAATAACAATTGCCATTTGTTTGCTTTTTTTATTGACAATCTCTATAACCATCCTCTGATTTTAGGTTTGCTTTATTGAAGTAAACTAACAATTTGATCTTATTAAACTTTCTATTACTGTTACTATTTTGGTTATTCATCAATTTCAACATCAAAATTGATTTTAAAATTTTATTGCAATAATTTTTAAATATCAGACTTAACTTAATTGTTTTGAATAAATTGGTTTGTTTGTCTAGTGTGGAATTGAATTTTCTTAAATCCAACAATCTATTGGATTTTCCTAATAATTATACTACTTAAGGCTTTCCTGATTTAAGGACCGACCTTTTAGAAAAAATCCTGGAGGGATATCTTTGTAACTAAATTACCAGAGAAGAGATCTTATACAAAACCAAACATGTCTATTGTTTCCAACTTATAATAATAATTTAATTTACAAAATCTATGTCTTCACATAGTTCTTCTTTTATAAAGTGAACTGTTCTCTTCAAATCCAATTAATTATCATCATCACACATATTCTAAAACAATTCCAAAGCTATTCTGATCACAAGCTCAAACTGAGTCATTTTAGTGAGATCCAACTTTAAAAGATCCTTGGAGAGAAATTAAAAAAAATCTATTGAATTTAAAATTGTGTATGTTACCCTCTAATTAAATAATTTCTGATTGTCCTGCTATTTAACGGAATACTCTCAAACTTTAATCCTTAATATTGTATAAATTGTTTACAGGATCTTCGCAAATGTATAATCTGCGAGAAAATGAATAGAACTCATCATAAGAGACTGAGTTCTCCTTCTATCTAAACATCAAAGCTTTTAGTGCTTCGAATACTGTTTTTGGTTGCATAACTTAATCTATTATAATTTTTTGATACCAACAGAAGCCGATATCGATGGAACATTGAAGAAATCTATTTCACTTCTATTCGGTGAATGCAAGTCTTCTTTTTTCTATTTTTATACTTTCATTTCAAATGGAAATCGACCAACCCAAGGATTAGTCATTTGAATATATTTTATATTAACTTATTTTTTATTAATCAACTTTCACATAATTCTTATAACTCATTTTCTATAATTTATGCAAAATTTACAATGTCCCCCACTTTCTTATCTAATCACAATCAAACTCATTACTTTCAATGTTTCATTTAGATTATTGTAAAGAATTTGCCACTATTGAGATTCCTTTTGCAATTATGCTGTTTCTTTTAGTAATTATTTCGTCTCCTTCTCAATGATTTACTCATTCTGATGCAGAATAGCAATATTCGCATTCAATCCATGCAAGACCTTTTTTGTCATTGGTTCAGCCAGCATTCCTATATGTCTTCTTAAATTTTCTGCTATAATTCAAACCATACCATCCTATTTATCTAAGACCTTTTTATTTTGGTTGTATTCTTTCATTATTGTGTCGAACATTGAAATTAAATTTTTTATTATTTATTTGTCAAAATCTTAAATACTGCCATATATACACATAACATAAAATATAAGAATGAATTCATGATTTATGTTATAGCAACACCTTTAGATTCTTTAATTTGGGACTTACTTGTATTTTGCTCTAACTATTGCTTTTGGGTAGTTAAATTAGAGGGGAAGATTTCATTTTAATAGCAATTCTACTTACTTAAATCATGGGAGATTTAGCTAAGTGAAACGTGTTTGATTTTAAAGTTGAGCTTTTCATTGAGACTACTGATCTCTTACTGAGAGGAGCGTTTGAATGCTTCGGTATTACATCTGATTACAATATGGCTTTGAGTTATTTTTGAAGTATTTAATTTCTTGCAGAATTTTAAATTGAGGGAGTCACACATGGGACCTATTTGATTTGAGTTGCAAAATGGACCTTCTTTTTACTTTGATTGTTGAGGAGATTCAACATCTCAATGACTGATTTTGAAGGTTCTTCTTATGTTAAATCAAATAACACTAGGTTATTTGCGATATTATTATTTTTCTCTGGTTCTGTTTTGATTCTTTAGGTTTATTAATCCTTTTGATTTAATCCCAATTAGTATTTGATTTTATTGTAGTGAAAGTTTCTAAAATATGATGTTGAGTTTTACTTCTTATGCTTTTAATAATCTCTAATTGTTTTTTCGACTTTCTTCATATATAATCTTGGAGTATGTATTTCATATTTATAATATTCAGTGAGAGTTCTGAGTCTTCTAGTTTATTCTGCTCTCTAAAACTGCTTCTCCAGATATTCCTCTTCTTGATCAAAGATTTTCTCATAAAATTAGACAATTTCTTTCTTTTTACTGCTGTCAACAAAATCGTCAATTGTGATTTCTATTTTGTGCTCATATTTGTATTAAAGTGCCTAGAATTCATATTTGAAGTACCAGGTTAATTAAATTACAGAGACTTGTCTTCTATTGGCAAAAGAGGCATTTTTATATTTATTATTTATCCATATATTAATATAATTAGATATTATCGAATAATGATTAAGTGTTATATTGGAAGAGCAAATCTTGATTTTTGTTAGAAACTATAAATCTATGAGGTTGTAATTCCAAAATTAATAGTGAAATATATCATAAAATCCATTTTTATTTTTAATTAAATTTTATGGCCACTCAACCTCTCCTTGAGACATTGCCAAAGGATTTCCATAAAATGCCACCAAATTACGATTTCTCCAACAAAGGTAAAATCCATACATTTAAACTTTGAAGGAGTTAATTGGAAAGATTATGAGAAGGACTTTATCTTGAGAACAGATGCAGTCTGGGAAAAAGAGTAATTAAAGGATTGGTTTAGATTGTATACAAAGGTAAGACTCAATTTCGAATTAGTGTTTTTATTTTGATACTACAGCAAACAAATACTCTTTGATGGAACCTGATGATGTTTACACTATATTATTCGAAGGATGTAAGAACTTGAAGAGTGATTTTTTATATAGGGGCTCTTGAAGATTGTCTCTTCCCATTCAGAGGCACTACTCCAACTGGCAGAACGAATTGTTTCCAAGTTGGATTGCCACCAAAACAAAAAGTGTATGTGCCATACCCAACATACTAATCACAACAAGATTATTTCACCTTATGTGCTCTTAGATTTTAGAAGTGGTTTGATTGCGATTAAGCTGAACATTTCAAAATGGACAAAACAGAAGCAGATTACCTTAAGAGAGCCAAAGTTTACCCTTGTTACGCAATGTTTTACGAAGCTGCTTATGCTTGCACTGTAATTCATATTCCCATTATACATTCTAGGATGATATGTTTGATTTCCTAATGGAATTAGCATATACTAGAAGATCAAACAGAACATTTGAATATAATCACTTCCAACATGAAATGCGTAGACCTCCCACCATTTATGACTCTCCCAAAAATGCAGAAAGAGTTAAAAAGACATATTGATCTATTATTAAAAATAAATAACAACAAAACAAAATTATTATGAATCCATTTATTTTATTATCATAAGCATTATAATTATGACTAGTTTATCAACTAAATGATAATATAATAAAATCATCTTATTAAATATGGGTCTCGACTTGAGCATATCCACATTTTCTCTTGTATAAAAATGGGATGATAAATGCAAATCTTAAATCTCTAATCATTATGTTTAATAGTAATTGAGAATTCTCTATTTCCACAGAAATGTTTTGTATCTTTAAATAAGGTTTAGTGATTGTGATTAGTGTGTAATCTTTGTTTTAATTGAATTTCAAGATTTACTCATTGTTTTCATAATAATCTTTGATATATTAGACTACAATGTCTTTGTTTTACAACTACTACTTTAATTAAATAATCTTATTGACATACACAAGATCAATCTTGAATGGCAATAAATAGGTTGATTAATTTAAAGTTGTTTATACTGATTCGAGAATAGTTAATGTATTTTTATTATTTAGATTAATACTCTGAATTTATTTGTAGGTTTCATGTTGTTCATAAAATAAGTGAATCTAGCCTTTTTAGTAGTAGAAATTATTTAAAGTCTTATGTTCCTTCAACTTCCTAAATTCAATCAAAAAGTCTTTCTATTCTTTAATGAGGTACTTATGTACAATCACCACGTTATTCCAAAGTTCGAATTAGGATAATACTTTTTTATTAACTGAATCATTAATTAAAATTGTAAGGTTTGATATCTTTTGTAGAACATTGCAAATGAAGACGGACTCAAAATCATTCCAATCAATAGAAACTTCAATGTAACACTGCTTTTGATCTTGATAACACAAAATTGAATTATGCTTTTTCAGAATAATTTATAATGATGCTCCCATTAATTATTAGATTAGATGGGTTTTTCCGACATTAATTTCACCAATAACCAATGTGATTGGGATGTTTGAGTTATAAAAGGGCAAAGAAATTCCATTATTGAATAGTTTTTCAAAATTAAATTCATATATATAAGATGGCATTATTTTTGGTTAGGGAATGAGTTCATCGGCTACTTCTTCATCACTATCAAAAATTTTGTCATAATTTAGAAATTATTACTTGTTTTGTTTTGGTTTCTTCTTCTTTCCTTTCTTTAAATATTATACAACAGAAATAATGAGCGTGTGCATTTAATAATTATAATAAATATTTCAAAATGAATCCCATCTGGAAGAATAGGAATGAAAATGAAAATAATGTTATATTATTGAATATTCATTAAATTTCATCATTGTTTTGTCTGAAATGTTAATTGGTTTTGAATTCTGAAAACAATGTGAATAAGACATGTAATGACTCTATGATATTTCTATTGTTATTAATTGGATGAACAGGAATGTCTAATAAATTGCATGAGAATTAGCAATATTCTTATAAACCCATGTCAATATTGTCACCTGGTAATTGTGTGCTTTAAAATAGATCTTCGATCTCTTGTGGCCACACCTACATTAATTCTTCAATATCAGGCATAATTTTTGAATAAGAAACTGAAGGAGGTTACTTTTTTTTATGTATTTCTGCCACATCATTAATCCATGCAGTAATTTCCTTTGGATTTTTATCTGCATTTTCAATAGCATGAATGGTTGTATTTTTGCCTCTATTTGCCACCTTGACATATTCTCTCATCAACAAATCCAATTTTGCCTTTTTGGACTGATTGAGAGCAGGTTCGTCCTATAATTTATTTAAATAGATTACTAATGTAACTAAACCGAGTGTCTCAGGTTGTCCATCAGGTCTGGGCATCTTGATGAATGCATCTACTTCACCGATGGCAGGTACATAATCTGGTATGAATGGCTTTAATTTTGCATCCAAAACCATTTATGGAGCTTTGTATCTGAAATTATTGTTAGAGAAATACCTAGCGATGTACTCAAACAATTATTTGACTTCTGCACCTACTTATAAATTTGAATAATCATTTGGATTGTAAGCTCCTGCAGGCAAAGGAACTTTTCCATCTTGAAATCCAGCACTTTATGCAGCTTATTGGGGTCCTCTAGCTCCAGCTTAATCTAGTGGATTAGTATGTATAATCATTACATTATTCTTCGTCTTCTTCACCACTAAGTATTTCTTCTTCATCATCATCTTTCAATTCAATTGCCTCATCATAGTGCTCATTATCGATCTTCTTTACTTTTTCATCGCCAGCGAAACCGTAATCGTTCTGAATTGATAAGTATGATGTTTATATACCTTTTGCATAATTAATTTTTTGTAAATATTTATGATAATTATTGGATTTTGTATCCCGAATATATAAAGCTAGTCTTAAATGATTATATAGTTATATATAAATTAAAAAAGAAAGGAGTTTGAATAACAGAATTTATTTAATTATATTAAATAATGAATGATTTTTATTACGAATTAGAATCATTAATTAACGATTTACCATAACGAAGTCTTGCCTCAAATATACAATAATTATTTTATAGATTAATAAATCAAGAAAAACAAAATAGTCCCATATTGGAAGTAGAGAAGTATTTCCGTAAAATGATTAAAAAAATTGAATAGTTTTATTGTAGAAGATTACAAAAATTAGAATATTTTATTTCAAAAAAAGCTGACAATTAGTTAATTTTGTTACGCATTAGCAAATACCTAGAAAAGAAACCTTGGAGATTAGAAACTATGGATTATACAGTCAAAGCCACCAAATAAGATAAAATTGACGATAAAAATTGTAATCAATTCATTAATTTCGATAACAATTAAGAAGACTATTATTCAAGCAAGACTTCTACTCCATTTAGTCATTACACATGTATTCCATCTGTACCTAGAGATTCCTCCTTAAACTAAGCAATATTTTTAGAATGTGATAATTCATTAAAGTCATCATCATCTTTTAATCTTGAAAGCAAAGAAGTTCTGTTGGATTTATCACAAATACAATAGAAACTCTAATAATTAGTAGATAAATCACCGAAACAAAAATAAGTAGTTAAGAAGAAACATCAATTAGCAGATTTAATAGACAGTGAAATGGATTAGTTTTCTGCACAATCCCCTCCTCGTTAAAGTATGTTGGATTGCAATATCAGTGAAATTAAATCAGGATTTAATTCTAGACTTATTTCTTCAAGATCACTACAAAAAGAGTCAGTTCCTTATGCAAATACTCCTAAAAGTCCAAAACAAATCCCTCAAACAAGGGAATTTGAAAGTTTGTTTTAAACTTAGCAATCCACTAAAGAAATCATCAAGTATGTTGAGTAATATCATCAATCGCATTAACAACAATAGTCATTATTATATTAATAATAGCATCACTTTAAAGCTAAACCAAGTCTTGAAGTTAATAATAACACATTATAATGTTTTCAGGATAAATGCTAAAGTCCCTCTACCAACAAAAGATATCGTGTGAGATCATCTTATCAAAAAGAATTACCTTCATAAAATAAATTGAAGGCCAATACTTCTCATGAAAATTTCGAAATCAGGACTTCCAAATCCATTCAATCAAAGAAAAAACATTTTTAATTGCCTTCACCGTTAAATGAGTCAATGAATCAATAAAAACAAAAATAATCAAATCAACAAATACAACAGCAGTAAGTTTAATAGAAGAAAACCATGTAAAGATAACAACCTTAAACATTGTCATCTGCCTTGTCTCATTTGTACAAAAGATTTTCCTAATAAAAATAAAGTTCATCTGTAGTTACGAAGAGATCTACAAAATAAGCAATTAGTTACTCTCTAGAGAAAGATCATTAGAAGAAGACTTACAAAATAGTTGATTATTTATTAAATTATTGAAATTTATATATAGAAAAAAATATATCAATAACTCTATCAAATCAATTTGATTGCTTTAAGAATTAGACTTCTGTTTTTTTTAGAGAGTATTTTTTAAATTATGGTGTAGAATTAAGAGAATCAACTTTATTCATTTCTTAAGATAATTGTTCAATAATCTAACAAAATTATATGTTATCCTTGTATATCTCATTTTAATTATCAAAAGACTATTCCCATATTTTCATTAAATTACCTATGATTCCTATAGCTACAATAATTACCTAAGAATTGATTGGATTCTTCCTTAAAATAATCCAGTGCTATTTGATGAGTAATTTTGGTATTTTCAAAAAATCGTATTGTTTCAAGGGTTGCCATATCATCTTCTTCCATTTTCAGTTGTATGTTAAATTTCATGTCCAATAAGATGTTCTTAATCATAGAAATCAGATTTATTATTTCAAACTAGGATGAAATCAAAAAATTACTTAGTCTTATTGAAAATTTTTGGTTTTGAAAAGCTAATCAACATGTGTTAAATAAAGTTATATTTCTTCAGATTATTGTTTAAACAGTCCGATAACTGCTTTTGATTCAATAATTTCTAATATTTTATATAACTTTTCAGCAGTTCCTATTTGTGAGCCTATCATATAAATATTTGAATTTACTTATATCGATTTCTTGGATTAATTCCAGAATATCATTTAATTTATCTTTCATTTTGGTATGATCTTTGATGGATTTTTTGACTTTTTCCAATTCTTTATTATCTTAATCTATCATTTTTTCTTTGTCTTTGATCATAATTTTGAAATAGTTGGAGTTGTGTTTGAGTTCATCTTGTATGAATTTCTCTATATTCTCTATCCTATCATGTTCAAAATCCTGTTTCTCTTTGCAATATTTCAATATCTTGATAATGTTACTCTAACAGAATACTTATTATTGAAATGACTTGACAAACTCCGAATTTTCATTGATTTACAATAGTTCTTCATCAGTTTGTTAAATAATTTCAGTTATTGCCCTGAAAGCCAAAGCCTAATCAATCTTCTATTCTTATTTTTTGAGCCAATCCATAATTAGTGGGAAGAACTATTCTAAGATATACTGAATATGATTACCTGAGGCTTTTTTTCCTACAATTGAATTTCCGAGAGTCAAATAAACAAACCAAATTAAGAAAAAATATTTCATATTTATTATTCTTTGCTAAAATAACGTATATATAATTTATAAAGCGAAATTTTCTGAAGGAAAAAAAAGTGTTTATCAATATTTTTAATTACTCATTTTTTTGTTAATAAATTTTACTTATTTCTTAAGCTACTTGTCCAATCGACCTAAGTGTTCTCCTTTCCCTTTTTAATTTTTTGTTGAGTAGTATTTATTTTTAAAACTTAATTATAAACGGATTCACTGGAATGTCCACTTAATTCCTTAAAAATTCTATCCTTCAGTGAATCTTCTTATTATTATAACTATGATTTTTGTTGATTCTGATTTATAATATAACATCGCTTCTATTCAAAATAATCCACAGATGGCTGTTTTTTTCTTTATTTCTGATCCTGAGATTTATTATTTGTGTTCGAATCGTATTAGTCTAAGAATATATCAATTATATTACTTCTTTAACTGTTGTAAATCTTGATGGATTGAGGTAAATTTGACTAACTCTTCTATTGAATCAAAGGTGATATCTCTAGGTTTTTTTAGTGTTCACTAGTTTATATTTAGACATTGTCATTTGCCTACTTCACAATCTCCTAAACATTGAACCTTTCATTAGGCTACTATTATTATTAGTTGATCGTAATAGGTTACTCATTCAAACTCACATTATGACTGTTTGGCTATAAAGGTACCTGCAATTATTAATCACAATTTTGAATGTGAGTGTGATTCCAACTTTCTGGAGTGTTTGAATTGCTTTCTCTTCTTGAATTTTAGATAGTGGATATGGGATTCGATCCATTACTTTTATAAATTGGTAATTTAGAGATGGGAGATGGGGGATTTTAGCTATTACTATCCTTAATTGTATTCGAGAATGTACTCTGATAAATATCATCATTTTCTAAGACATCAAATGCTTTCATATCAATAGAAGGATTGTTATAATTGATTGAATTACTTCTAGACTTTATCTAATCGTTTAATAAAATATTGTAGCACATTTTATTCATGAATGTTAAAATTTATGATTGCTCAAATTAATTGATTTTTACACTAGAATCTAATTTCATTTCTGATAATAATTGTTAAATATTCTTTACTCTTTTCTCGTATCTTTACATTATGTCTTCAAAGGGTTTCATATCCATTTTTTTCACTATATTAGAGTGGTTTTTCTCAATGTCAATTTAAAACTGCTATAATTACTTCTCATAATTGGTCACTGCCTGTTAACAATCCAAAATATTCTACTCCAGACTTAAATGGTCATGTTAAAACTTTTGAATGTAGGTTTACTTTAATTATTAAGCTGTTTCAATCACTTATTCAAAAAATCTTATGCAATTAGCTTTTTAATCTTCAAGCATTTGCTTTTGACTTATTTACATGTTATTAAAGTCTATTATTCTAAAATTGCAAGCTTATAAAGCTTATTTCATCAATTCCTAAAATTAATTAATTCTCAATTGTCTTTGGAATTCTAATTCTGCTCCAGCGCTCTCTTCAATTTTGTGACCCTTCAGTGCTAAATTCAAAGCACATTTAGAACAGAACAATGTTCGCTTATCGTTTTAAGCATAATATTTAGCCTATATATAAATTGCTTCATACTTTCTTATTTGGATGTTTCAAGCAATTCAAATGAGAGCTGGCTTTCTATTTAAAAATATTTGAATTCTTTAATATTCTGTCTTATTCTTTAGCATTATATGATGATTCTTCTTCTGAACTTGATGAAATTGCCAAATTCATTAATTCGGTTAAAAAAAATTAAATATATTTGTTTAAACTTAATATAATAAACTAATTAACTTAAAATGCCCTAGCAGAATGGAAGTGATTCTTTTGGCCTCAATAGATCTTCTAGTTATCTAAAATTTAACAAACTGATGATCAAATGTCAAATAAATATAAAATATTTGCTTATGCACAAATCTAATTTATAAGAAAGATCTTTTTTTTATAATTATATTTTCTATAAAAAATGGGTGTTTGTAAAATAGGCCCAAGTGCTATTAAACAGATTGAACTAAAATCTGACTTCGAGTAGCAATATCAAGGAAACGACTAACCCAGTTATTAGTATGATTTAAGGAGAACACCGCCTTGTGAAATTGAAATTCCTACTGCTCCCTAAAGGACTATAACAAATAATAATCATTTATATCCTCAAAATCACTTATTTATAAAATAGGTTGAGAGCTTCTACAATTCTACTTAGACAAATAAAGTAATATCTAATGAGCATCAATGTCATAATGAAATGAATAAAATAGATGAATTAAGCAAAAGCCTGCTTAAAAATGAAACTTAACCTGATGACAATCCTGATAAATAAGCCCAAATTTTTCTCAATAATGAGTATGAACAGATGTTGTCTAGCAAAATAATTAAACCAAAGCCTGATATAATTTTAAGAACTGATCTCCTCTAGAGTGTCCATCCATCTAAATACTAGGGTAGAGTGAAATAACAAGGAAAAACATTATGAATATTTAAAATATTAAAAACAATTAAATTCTACCTGGCAACAAAACTAGGCAATCTCTTCTTATTCTAATTTTATTCTACACTACCGATAGAGTAACTAATATTCATCATCCTTGATCAGATTAAAATACAATAAAATAGTTCAAGGGTCAATATTTTTTTTTTATCCTACAACTTATAACTTTCTTCCACCTTCGAAAATAATGTGTAACTTCATTTATTTTGATGTATTTACTACCTTCACTACTAATGGATATTTTTGATGTTTACTCCATGCTGAAGCCTTAATCATAATTTTTAGACCATTATAAAATCCAAATTTTTCACTTCTGTCTAATGTGTTTTGATCATCTGACTAAAGTCCTTAATAAATGGTGGATAATAAATGACCAATCTAATTCTTAAATTAATCATTCTTAGATAGCAACACATAAGATTTTGCTAGGCTATGATATGTTGGAAATTTAGATGGTAGATGAGTATATTTGCTGAACTATTTTAATCATTCAGATTTTTTAACAACGATAAATTTTATCAAATCTAAGGTTCTAAAATATGGCAATTCTCTTTTTATTCTATTTAGTTATAACATTAAAAAATATAAAACAATAATATTAGACAATAAACAATTGACAAATAATATATTGAAATTTCAAATCTACACAATTTATTGAAAAATTCAGGTCAAATCAATTTTTTTATTGATACGATGATTAGTTTTGACTTAATTGTATCTAAATATAAGATTTTCATATGAACTACGCTTTTTGTTTTTGGCTTTTCTTTTATATTATACGTTTATCAATTTTAGAATCTTGTATTAGATTGCTTACCAATTCAACTATTCTCATCAATTATGATGATTCTTGAATGTAGAATTTCAGCAAATTATATTTTTGATGTAGTTCAGCTAAGCATAATGCATGTAACTTAAATGCTCTAAATAAATATAAGATTATGATCTAGTTTGCAGATACAATCAAATAATTTTCAGTATATTACTAAATGATCATCATTCTCATATAATTTTTATTTATACCTTAGATAAATTTTATTGATTCTAATATGATATCATACTACCCAAATTATTTGTACAACTTGTAAATATTCACTTACGTCTACCATTATTAAGAGTTAGAATATATCTTTAAATTATTCATCGATTAATAGCATATGTTTGATGATGATTATATTATTATACATTTTTAATAATGAATTTTTTTCGTTGCAATTGTACAAATATCGAATAAGGTTTGGATATACCAAATAGTAATCTCTATATTGAATAAATCATATTGCATTCGATGAACCAGGAGAAGGTTATATCTTTAACCATGGATTTAAATGTAATTTTGGAAGGATTCAAGTTGAATAGGAAGAAGGATTGTCTTTATTTACAAGATCTCAAAGATTTCAAGGAAGATCTACATTATACTTTAACAAAAGTGAATCCATAGTTTTAGTAATTTTTAGCAATTTAATATGCTAGGATCCCTTTAAATAATTAAGATGATAGTAGTTAACAATTTTATTTAAATTTAAACTTATATGTATATGAAGGCTGTTATAAATTATTATACTTATAATAAAAAGAGTAATATTTCCATAAAGATGATTACCTCTTTGGAGAATGGGAAATCATGGGTTCAACTCAAGAAATTCAAATAGAATTTATATGTATATTATTCTGAATTATTGATTCCTAGAAGATAAAACTAGTTAAGAGTAAAATCACAATATCCTTAGAGATCTCACGAATTGTACCCAAAATCAATAGGTAGAACACCTTATTGAAGACGAAAATCCAAAGATAAAATACTCAATAAGCAAGACACCCAAACTCAAAAGAAAGCGCTGAACAATAAAATTAGTAATAGATTATCATGTTGATATAATCATCAAATTTATTTAATGTAAGCTCTGCTGGTTATCAAACTTTATGTTGGTTAAATTGAGAGTGTTCTGTCTGTTCTGGAAATGAAATCATAATGAGAGTATCTTCTTAATTTAGTTACGCAACTCGAAATTTATTGCGAATTCTGTTATATTGATAAATAGCGATCTTTTAGTTTTGATATCTAAGGCTTTTCTTGTACTTTGATATTTGGTAACATAAGTTGTCTCAATTTTATTTGGTTATTTTATTTTAATGGTTTTAAATATGGAAGAGGATCATCAGTTAAAGAGGATCTCTACACTTTTGCCTTCTTCTTAACAAGATCTTTAGGTATTATTGATCGTTTCTGTTCAATAACTTCCAAAGGTTAAAAATTAAATATGGCACCTGTTTCGATAGTCTGCACAGCCTAATTTTTCATAGACAATAATAATTAATCATAATATTATATAAATAATATTAATATGAGGATTTGAGACAGTTATTATTGTTGATTAAGTAGTTTAACTATACTAAGTAATTAAAATTTATGTCCATAGAATTTAATAAAAGTATTAAATTAAAAATGATATCATTTTTCCTTATTTCTGCATACATCGATTATTTAATTTAGGTAATTTTCAAACAAATTATCAAACTAAATAAATTATATAATTTACTAATTTCTATTGATTGATAACTATTTTTTATTGAAACACAACTTCATTCAAAGCCTTCTGATACGTTTTAATATATTGTCTATTTTTTTGATAGCTTTTCAATTATCTAAAATTATCACTATTTTATCCTTTTTCGTGCACGATTAATGCTTTATCGAAATTCGAGAAAAGCGATTTTGCCTTTTTTAAATGCCAATAAACTATACTTTCTATCTATCCTCATTTCTAACATCCTTATTGTTAATTTGAATTAAAGTAGGAATTCTATATACAAGAAACGAAAACATAAAAGAGCAATTGTTTATTTGATTGTTCTAAATGGTTATTTTCTGAATATCTACTAAATGCTAAAATCTAATGTTTGAAAATACTTCTAATTTCGCTAATTAAAGTAGACTGTTGATATAATTATCTTTAAGAATTATTTCTTTTAATTTAGTATATTCTTTAACCACTTGTAGTTGTGAATCGATAAGTGAATCAAAAAACATATACTGGAAGTGAATCTTTTCTATTATTTGATTAAAATTTTAAGTTGGCAACACCATCCCTGCTGCTGTTCCATAAATTAATAAGAAAGTATCCTAAAATGAAATCAAATTATACATCCTCCACTTCAGCGTGTCCACCTTCTAGAATTTAATGTTCTAAGCAACTTTTCGAGTTTATTTGATATGATTATTCTAATTCTTAAATCCTTTTGCTTTCTTGACCCCATTATTTCTTAATCAAAGATATTATCTCATCTTCAGCTCCATTTGACGATATAGAATTCTTATGACTTAATTAAAGATCTTTTGTCTAATTTTTTGAACTGTTTGCATCTTTTTTTGATAATTAAGCTTGATTTGCATCATCCTTTAATTTAGAATCTTAACCTATACCTTAGATCTCCAATCCAAATTGATTTATTTTTTATTGCTTCTTTTGTTATTATTATTAAACCAATTAATTCAAATTTTTTTTTTTAATTGGTTCACTTTTAGGGATTTCTAAGAATTACATGTCTTATCTAACTAAATCTACTGATTTCCCATCCAATATGCGAAGTTTTTCATAATTGGAACATATATATTTATGATATTCAGATTTATTTTATGATATTGGATTGTTATCCAAATATAATTCCAGTAAATCAAAAATTAATGGATATTAATTTATTTTATTTTAAGATAAAAATAGTTTCTGCAATTATGGGAGAACTAACAATAAATTGATACATAAAATACCTTAGATATGATCAATGAATTCAATCTAATTGATTTTCAAGTTTAATTCATTAAGTGAAGTTAATTCTTCTAAACCTTCAAGTTTTTGGATCAAATTGTTTCCTAGATTCAGCACTTTTAAGTTTTTCAATTTGCTTAGACCTTCCAAATTCGTAATCTTATTGCTGTGTAGATCCAACACCTCTAATTTTAATAAGTAATCTAAGTTTTGTATTTTTCGTATTAAATTTTTTGGCATTAACAACACTTTTAGTTTTTATACTTATTTTAACTCTTCTATCTCCTTTATTTAGTTATCATATAAATCTAAATACAACAAATTTGGTAGGGAGACTAAATTTTAAATTATTCCAATGCGATTATGTTAAAATGTTAATATTTTTAATTTTTCTTCTCCTTCCAACAATGGCATATGCGACAGATCAAGCCAGTCAAGGCTTAACTTTTCTGCATTTGTTTATCTCTCTTATGGTCTTCTATAACAGACCCAGATGCCTGGTATCTATTGCAATTCAGAAAAGATGATATTGCCTCCGTTTTCTATTTTCTTGATTGTACCATTTTTTATTAAATATCGATACCTTGCTAGGTTTATAAATTTATACCTTTCATCTTATTCGATTTAGAGGATTTCTTAGAATTCTTGTGAATGCACAAATACATCATTCTTATTCCTTTTTTTTTGAATCTCCGGAAGTTAACTCAAAAGAGCTGCTTAATTTTACTAAGAGGCCTTGAAAGTGTTTTTCTTTGTGAAGCCAGTGGAATATGTTTGAGCACTCTATTCAGGTTGCCTTAAGTTCTTGTTAGGAGACATTGAGGATTTCGTCTTCATTAGGAAATTTTAATTGTTACATATGCAAAGCGTGAGTCTTTATTCATTAAATTTATAAATATCAATAATTTGAATACTTTGGGATTATCTGTAGAATTTATGAATTTGATGGAAGTGACATGGAAAATTGGAGTGTTAGTAAATTGAAGGTTTGAATATATTATATGTGTAATGAAATTTTGATTATACAAAAATTTAATAAAAAATATGGCTTAGGAAATATTTCATAAGAAATGGCTACAAAATTTGGGGTATTATTCATTAAAATTGTTCCCATACAAATTCTTGTTTAATTATAAGCTTGTGAAGAATCATTATGATAAATTTAAAGGAGAAGGCGAATATTTGAATTAATTTCTCAGTATCCCTTTTAGATTGACTCATGAAAGGTTTTTAGGGGAGGTCCTTTAAAAAGAGTTGGAACGATTTGAGGAACAAAATTTGGAGATAAAGATCAGGAAAATTAGAGCGATAAATGTGATTACATATTTTATTGGAATAGGAACTTATAGATCACCACTTGTAGTTTCGATGGCGGTGTCAAAGTTCTAATTTATTAATTATTATTTTCGAGAATATTATGGAGACAAGAATCGAATAATTTTGTCATTCTTATTTAAGATAATTCATTCATTAGGTTTGGCTAATGAATTCTTAGAGAAAGTTGAAAAAAAGAAGGATTTAAAATTAGTTATATTTATTTTGAATGAGTATATGGTTCGATAGATGAATGACTACACGAGAAGATTAGGAAATAAGGAAGCACAAATAATTTAAAGGATTGGCAGTCAATGGAAGGACAATGTACAAATAAATTGGATGTTGTATAAGTTATATATAGATCAAGATTTAATGTGATTATGGCATATCTTTCATATTTGTTATATATTTTACTTCAGCAATGATAGATTGCAACGATTCAATTAGCAACTCGTCCATCTAAAATATATTATTTTCTTACTAAGGGGAAGACCTTTATCATGCAATTGGGGTTCACATCTCTGATCTATTATTCAATAGCTGTATCTCTCTACAACAGAATAGCTGCATTAAAGAGTTTATAATAGCATTCTAAAATAATTGTAAATAAAATTTAATTACCTCGAAAGAATTAGGAATGCTGATGTTTGATGTTGTTTTGTATCCAAAAATGCAAGCCAAATTGGGTTTCGTTTACTTCATACTCTTTATAGAAGAAGTCAAAGTCGAAAGTAAAGGATTTTTTGGAAATGTTGTCAGTTGTGATAGAGCGATTTCTGACTCGTTTCAATAATTGCAAGAATTCTTATTCGTTGAGTTTTACCTTGGGAGAGTAGATGAAGATCTTCAATTAAGTAATATCTTCAACTCCTTCATCAGCTGGTATGAAATCAAAATTAAGAAAGGCTGATTCCGACAAACTTTTTTTTCTTTAGCTTTCCCTTATTTTAATTTGTCCAATTTGATCATATTTCTGTATTATATTTTATGGTTGTTAGTACTTTTAAATATTCTTCACAGGTTTAAGCATGCAAAGCTCCACTTCTTCTACGTCTTTCTTGAATTGCTTGTTTTTATTATTATTACATAAAAAAGAAAATAATATATAAAATTAAATATGTTTTAAGAAACAATTATTCATTATTATTCATCATCATTTATTTTTGGAGCTAAATACAATTTTAATGATCCCATATTTTCAATTTAATATTCAATCACTAATGGTTAATCTTGAGACATAGACAATATAACTTAAGGTGACAATGCAGATGCCTTATTAAACAAATTGAAGTATCTATTAAGACATAGAATTGTATTGTATACCTAACAGCAAAACTCAGATTCACAGGTTCATCAACATCGCATTCTACTCTCTCCTCTTTCTTTTCTCCATCATTAGATTTCACTGACACTTGTCCCTCTCCAATGTCTCCTTTCACATAAAACTTGATTCCATCTTTAGATGTTTCAATACCAATTGCCTCATTTATGTTGCCTAACTCTCTGCAGATTTTTGTGAATTCATTCGATGGCATTTTGATTACTGAAGAATAATCGGTGTCTGGAACACCTAATTGTTCTTGATCCAAAGACATCAAATTCAATTGGAACTCACTTATTCGGTCTAATTTCATATTTATTAAAAACTTACTTTTCGATTCGAAAGTGAATGATAATGTTGTTGGTTCTTCCTCTTGAGTTCTAAGAGTAATCTAGTCATCATTTCCAGAACACTTCAAAATTTTTTATAAATTCTCAATACTCAAACCCATAGTGAGTGATTTCTCACATCTGTATTTTTTGAATCCCTTCTCATTCAATTATAATGCAACCAAAGCAACATGAGAGGTATCCATAGCCTTAAATTGAAATCAATCATAATTATACTTATAATGAAATTCCTGTTCCGTTGGCTTCAAGATTTACATTTTTTACCAATTCCTTAATTGCTTCAACAATCTTTTTAAATAAGACACCATCTTCAAACTTGGCTTCGAACATCTAATCTTTTTAATTATTTAAATAAATTATAGAGGGAAATATTAAAAACTCCAGATTTGCCGGGTAATTTAATTTATAATTTCCTGGCTTATTTCTGTCCCAACCTAATTTTACTATTAATTTAGATCAAGTAATCTGAATAAATTATAAAAAGGCTAATATGTAATTTATTTCACTTATTCAGCTTTCAATACAACCCAATATTTTCAAGTACCTACAAAATTGCATATCTAAGTAATTTAATAAGAATAGCAGATTTGAATTTTATATATAATGATAATTAAAGTAACACAAAATAAAATAATAAATCCTTCAAAAATCAAACTCTATTTGTTTCATAATAATATGAATCAGTAATCTTATGGTAAATTCTATCTTGTAAAAGATGGACTCAACACAATTATCTGTAAGCGTGATAGATATGGTTATATTGAAAATTCATGATGTTGGTAATTTTTTTGGTACCTTCAAAACTATTGATAGAGAATCAATTATAATAATTGCTATTGAAGTAAATATACATATTTCCAAATATGCTCCCGTTTTCCTAAGAATTATTATATTCAATTGCTTTTTTTGATATTATGTACTTCTAATATTGAATTGATTTCTGGTTACTTCAATATACTGATGACATGCTTTTTATGAATTTAGTATATGTAACACGTTAAAATTAATGAGTTGAATTAAAAGAATATTTTTATAATTATTTATAAATATTTTATGTATGAATAATAAATCACAAGCCTTATTGAACCAATTGTGTTCTTATATTTCTAATTTAATTATAAGCAACAAATATTACTGGAGCTCTTTCATTACTTCGTCCTACACATCAGATGGATTCCTGCCCACTGGAATGACCACATTTCTCACATAGTAATACTTGCCACCTGTTTTTTAACAATGTTTGATGACTACCTTATCGCCAACCTTACAAAAATTGTCTTCATCATGTGCTATGAATTCAGATGAGTTGCCAAAGTATGACTTATATTTTTTATGCCAATATTTGTAGCTTACTTTTATCTAGGAATTTCAATTAGATCTATTTACTTTGCATGATTTGTTTCTGCTGTCTCTAGTTACAGTACCAAAAAATTCTTAACCAGATGGCAATAAATTCTTGATTGTCTTCTACACACTTATCCTTGTTGGATGTATTAAGGTCCAAACTGTTTACATTGTTTGAAAATATATTATATTTATTTATATTTAATTTTAAAATGTCTAATTATTCTTGCTAATTTTGCTACAAGAGAACAACTCTAGGATATATCAAAAACTATTTCCCTTGTGAAATCAATTTACATAAAATGATTAGACACACTCTCTATCATAAATACGCCACTTCATAAAACTATTATTTTACCAAAGACATTAATGAAATACTATCCAAAACTTCTACTGCCAGAACTATTCTGTACAATGTAAAACATTCAAATATATCACAAGGATTATATATGTTATGATGAAGAGGATGAATATATCAAAAGATTTTATGAAATGCATGAATTTCCTTCCAAATCAAAATTGCTTACAGAATTCTACAAATATCATAAGGATTTGCCAAGATGGGTCTTAAAATAGCCCATACTCAAAATTCTCAATTATTATTACGATAAGCGAAGGAAAATTGAATTTTACAAAATTTAAAGATAAATTGAAATTGAAAATTAAATGAATCCAACTGATCCACCCAAAGGTATTGTAGGTGATAAACCTTTACTAAGTGACTCTACACCTTAATCTGAGAATTCAGAACCGTAATCCAAAGTTAATGTCGATAACATTCTCAAAGAAATCAGTTTCTCTAATAAGAAACCTCATCCCTCCCAAGAAATCAGTCGCATTTTATAAGTCCCCGAATCCCCTCCCATTGGAGAAATACAATAAATGATCAGCCTACTTAATCTTAAGTCGGATTCTCCAAATTAAAAACAACAATACCAATGGTTTAAAAAGAAGAAGACTCAAAACAAGAAATCACTCAAATTGGACGAACTTGCTTTGTCTTTGTCTGCTAGAACTCATTAAAACCCTCAAGAAGCAAAAATGCCTCTCTCAGCAAGATATCAATAATCTTATTCTAATAAACTAATTGATTAAAGTATTCTATGAAACCATATATAGTCTAAGCTAAACTTCAAAATAAACACTCTTAAACCATCTCAAGAGACAAAATTATGGATTTTAAATAAAATAAAGAATAATTCATGTAAGAAATATATTTTACCGTAATAGTAAAAAATTCAAATTAGAGGAGAAGAATAAAAAAGGCAATTCACCCAAAAAAATCGATCAAAACAAAGCAATTCAAGAAATCAAACAACTTGAATTGAAAATAATTAAAAGTCTCTAAGAAATGAAGAACATCAAAAGCAATAATCTATCGAATCATGAATCAAAATAAGCTACCTCCCAAAACAGTAATAATTAAATTCTATCTTTGGATCAAAAGGCCTTGTATTAAATACTCAAAATCCCTGATTCGTTTAGACAATTGAATTTTAACAAAGTCCAGAATAAAACTAATTCAAAAAGATCCCAGGATTAAAATTAACGTTAACAAAGAAACAACAATTCCTAACAGCATTAGAAACAAGTGTAAATATTGGATATGAAAAAATTAATATCGAACAAAAAAGATATTGCTCCGAAAACTGAAAGGGTAAAAAAGACCATTCCTTCTCTAAACTTAAATCTTATTGGAGCTATAAACTAATCGACTTCAATGACTACAAGAAACAATAGCTTTACTCCCAGTTTAGCATATGCTCAATTATTAACACCGAAACAAAATTAAACTAATATATTCAACGAAAATAACATTAATAATTGGCAACTCTAAAATACTCATAATGTTGCAATTAGAGACAATAATATATAAAAATGATTAAATATTTAGATATGTTTTAAAATTAGTCTATATATTCACAAATGAGTCTATTCAATTAAAATATTTGCTATTATTTTCCTTCTCCTCAATTGATATTGAATGGTCTAAAATTTAATATAATAATCCAAATACATTATCGATTAGGTTATTTGTATTGTTTATCATTCCGACTTTACTTTTTTTCGCTATTCACAAAACTGAAATTACTTTATCTTGAGTTGCATGAGAAATTGAGAGGCTGAGTCTGGCTTTTCTAATATGAGAATAAATCTGTTTGCATCTAATCAAACTGATTACTGAAGTTATTCATGAATTCTTCATCATCGAGTATTCTGTTAAGAATTTATTCTTGTAATGGACATGGTTTAATGAGAGAATTATTTTCTATAATTTCTTAATTTTCTGTATAACTTTTATTAGGATATGGCAATTGGACTTTTATGGGTTTACAAATTAATTTAGGCTTATTAACAGAATGTGCTTTATTTGAACGATTAGATGTTTATTTAAGGATTGGATACTTAGTAGATATTGGGGAATGTTCAGTTTGAAATGAGTCGTTTACATTAAAGGATTCGTCGATGATGATATTATTTTATTTGACTCTGGAAGAGGAGAACTTTGATTCAAGTGATTCAATCTTGATGTTTGCTTTTTACAATTTCTATTTCAATTTAACTACATAATTGTCAATTTTCAATATGTATTGATTATCCTATCAATGATACTATTTTTTTATTACTCTTTGCTATACTCTTTATAAATCTTACATTTATTCAGATACTAACTTATATTCTTGATTTCTTTCTAATAATAATCTTCTTAATTTTGCTATTTCCAATCTTTATGAAGCATCCCTCTATTGCAATTTATGAATAGTCTCAAATTAGAATTAATTTAATTACTTCTTTTAATTATGAAATACTCTCCTTTTACTAGCTGTTATTTCTCATTAAATTGTAATTTGATTAAAATATTTTATAAATCATTTCTTCTTTTTTTTTGATTTCAATACATTAACATGTCGTGATTTTGGCGATTATGCAATGTAATTCATTTCCATTTCACTCTCAACCTCTGCATCTAAAACCTAAATAATTAATTAATTTTGTTACTAAACCAACAGGCACATTTGCAAATAGAGTTTTATTATTGCCAAAACAATAATAATAGAATATTAAATTAGTCATTAAAATTGTAGAGAGAACTTTATTATCCAAGATGAAATCAATGATTTGAACTAGAACACTTCCCAACGGTACCAAGACATTCTATATGTATTGATAAGTAGTTTACATTCAATAGGGCATCCAAGAATAATTCTAATGGAGATGGATCTAAACCATTCGAAATTTCATTATACACATTATTTACAATATCGAAATTATTGATTAATTTTTGAAATGGACTCAGATATTAATTCATCAAAGTGTTTACATTCTCATTTCCCTTCCCTTTTTGTTTGTGAGCATAACGAGCTGCTTTCTGTTTTAATGCTTTAACAAATTCGATTTGATTAATAAAGGTAGCTTCTATTTGATCTTTAGAAAGCAATGCACTCTCCAGATCAATTAAGATATCTTCTATCTTACCCTAATACAGAATGATTGCACTAACTGAAGCTCCCTTGCCTTTAAAAATGAGATCGAAGTGCAATCTATTGTCGCTCATCTGATATAAGATCTTGCGATTGGCTGTGATGTTTTTGCCATCGAATTCGAATTCAAAGGCAAAATAGAGTGGAATATTTACTCCTCCTGCTTCCTTGTAAATATCGAACTGCTCCTTTATTAGCTCATCCTCCAAATAAATATCGAAAAAGCGTGCTGATCGTTATTCTGACTATTTGATATATAAAAATAGTTTATACTTCAATGAAACATAAAATTAAAGTGTAATTCCCACTCAGCCTCATGGTGATCGAGTATTTGAAAAAATCTTGGTCGCTGGATACGGTTCTCGATGTTTAGAATACATAATAATCCAAATATTAAAGAGGTATCAAATGATGATTTTAATCTGAGGTTACCTTTTAATAGAACATTTATTGTTAGCCACCCTTATAATTTTGATCATAGCGATATAATATTTTTTGTCTGTCCTTATAATAAAATTGATTGCCTGCATCAACAGCGTATTTAATTTTATTAGCATCTAAATATGAATTTACATATATAAAAAGCAAAAATAATAACATTATTTACTTATTAATTCATATAAATTATATCGTAAATTATTAATAACAACCTTAAACTCCTTATTTATTAAACATAAAATCAAAAGCAATTCTCACTATCCCTACCATATTTAACCCTACCTTGATGTGTCTACTCTTCTAATCAGATGGTTTGAAGAGTAGTGAATGCATCAAATTGTAGGAATATATAATTATATTTATAAATATAATTGAAATATAAATTAAATGGAATCAAAATCAATGACAATCAGCACTAAAATATAACAGTCCAATTATTCTGCATTATCTAATCTACCCAGACACATTATTAATTAAATTAAAAATGAAGGTATCATAACATACCAATATTAGGTGAATTATATATTACAGCACCTAACAAATGTGCAAAAATCTGGATCGAAATGAGAAAAAATGATTTTGTGACAGATGCTCAACTAAACTTTACAATTGCACAAAGAATCTTTGAAGCTTGTAGAAGTGAGATCGTACAATTACTGAAACTGTAAAATGAAAAAGATTTCTTTGAGCTCTTTGATTAGGATAATGATGGGTAATAATTAAATGAATCCCATTAGAATCTTAAATGAAGACGAACAGATTCTAGTGTTTTCAGTCATCAAAGAAAAAATGCATTAAGTAGCAACTGCTTTGTTGAAAATCCAAGAATACATATTATTCAAACAATTGATGAAAGAATTGAGAACTTTAGAAGCTAACATAGCAGCTTATCAAAATTAATTAAGATAACGTATTTCAATCAAAGAGAGATAGGTCTACAAGGAAATAGGATAAGAAAAGCTTGATGATTTTTATGATAAATACTATTAAGAATTCTAATAACTAACAAAGTATAAAGTCGATAGAAGGTACTCTAATATTATTAATTAAGAGCATAATTAAAAATATCCTAAGAAAAAGAGTTAGGAATCTTGGAGGATCGACTCTCCAAGGATACTGAATTGATGAAAGTTAAACCAAAAAAAAAGTTGAAGGATCTACAAACTCAAGAGAAGTTGGTTAGTCTAGAGGAAAGAGTAGAAGAAGCATTAGACTTTAGAAAAGAATTGAAAGACTTAGAGAAACACGAATAAGATAGAGTGTACAAAGTATAAAAATATCGTATTGAAAAATAACACAGTGATTTGTTATTTAAATAACAGAAAGAAAGAGAACAATTAGAGGGTAAACTATAAGAAACTGAGTATAAATTAATCATACAAATGAAAAAGGACTATGATGTTTTACTTAAGCAAATCAATCTACATAATAATGAAATCACAAGAATTTAGAGTCAAGCCTCTAATCAAGCAATGAAGAAAGGATTGTATGAAGGAGAAGCTAAGAGATAAAAGGTTTAATCTTAATTATAAAATGGTATCATTGCCTAAACGAAAGCCATAAGTCAACCAGAATCCAAAATCAATGATCTAGATCAATTTCATGAATCTGAAACCATTCGAAAATTGGAATCTCGAAAGAGTCTCCAATTTGCAGGTTCTCCTGGTAAAGTAAATAACATTAAATATCTAAGCCTGTGATTTCAGAGGAGAGTGAAAAAAGTCCAATGGGTTCTGCATTCAATGGAAAAACAAAGAACTTTTATCAAATCAGGAAAATCATCAAGGATTCCAAAAACATCACTCAATTTTATATTAAGAAGAACTATGGCGCTGTATGCTATTAGATATATCTCATAGGACTTACCAGTTAATTTTGTTAGAAGTGCACATAATATTTAAGGTGATTAACATGAAAAAATAGAGAGATTTCTTTCTGTTAAACGTAAATCTTAGCATGAGCTCTTACCACCAATCACTTAATTGTATGACGACGACTTGCAAGAAAAAGTATTGTATATTAAATAAGCCCTAGTAAATCAAGGCAATAACAAAGACTGATCAAGAGATAAAAAGAGAAAAGGCACTTAAGAGAGCATTTATTAATGAAAAATTATTTAGAAATGATTGAAAAATAGTATTTTATTTACAAATTTTATTATATCGAAACTATTTTTTATTTATTTTTACTTAATATTATAATATTTGGGCTAGATTCAGTTTTAATATAATACTTTAGCAATTGTCTTCAAAATCAAATCAATCATCAATTATTGTATTTAAGTAATTTCTTAAGATTCCCTAAATTCCTAAATTTTAATTGGCTGCATTTGACCGATTATAATTACATTGCTTATAGTTGAGAAATGTAGAATTCTTAAAAATATTTGTATTTTAAATGAAAAGTTTTATTTTTCAAATTGTTAAACCAGCAGGATTCGATTAATTTGTAAATCATATTAGGATTTTAAATAGTAAATTACAATTTTGATAACAATAGAGTGGAATATATAATATAAAATATAAACTAAAAATGATTTTTGATTTATTTTACAAGATATAGAGATATAACAAGCACTACTTTAGTTTATTAAAATATTTTTGATGATTAGCCTTAGTTTCGCTTTTTAAAGGAGAGAAAAAACATAATTTAAGATGAAAATCTATTATGAGTAATTCTCCTTTCAACTTAAATTTAGAAGTAGTAATCTATAACTATATTAATAAATTTAGGTTGTTTTGGTTTAGCAAATAAATAATGAAAAAGGAGATGGTCGAAAAAATAAAAGAATTTTATGAATATTAAGATTAAGTAATATAAATATCACTGTAATCAATTCACATTAATTGCAAATAACACTGGTGTGATTTCATTAAGGATTTTATTTACCCAAAAGACTGTTGTTTTAGAATATAATATTATTGGGTAATATTGTTGTAGTGGTCAAAGGATTTAACAGAATGAATTGATATGGGTAAATTTGAAATTCAACATTTTAAATTCTTATTGTTTTGTAATGAAATAAAATTGCATTTTCTAAATTCATTTTGAGGAGGATATGTCAACGATTTGATCATCGAACAATTTATTGATAGACTTAGCAATAAGAATTCTCTATATTAAATATATCATATATTTATTAATTGTCTTTACATAGAATGGGCTGTTGCGCTTGTAAATTGTACACAGATGAGAAAGGTAAAATAGTAAACTTAAAATAAGCTATAATGAATCCATAAAATGAAGGTGACTAAGTTTAGGAAGGACTGGAATTTGAGAATTAATAGCTTAATGCTAATTCTAAAATAATAATTCAAGACAAAGAAACTAGCTTTATAAAATCAAATTCCTTATCAAAAGAGTAGGGATATTCAAAGGATCTCGAACAATAGTAAGTTTAAACTAAACACAAGGAAGGAGATACAGTAGAATTTATAAAGAAAACTATTAGCGGAACTATGAAATTGACTCCTGAGATGTTGGTGAGAAAGCAATGCATAACAGAAAAGTTTTTAGCTCATTACGAAATAGTGAAGAAATTAGGGTAAGGAGGATTTGGAGAGGTTTATTTGGTGAAGCATTTGTCTACAGAACATTTGAGGGCTGCAAAAGTAGTTCTGAGGAAAACGGTAAATTGTGAAGAGAAATTGTTAGAAGAGACAGAAATCTTGAGGACTTTGGATCATCCAAATATAGTTAAGGTTTTGGAGATATTTGCAGATTTTAAATATTATTATATAGTAACTGAATATTGTTAGGGAGGGGAGTTGTTGGAGAGAATAAAGACAATAACAAATTACAACGAGAATTTGGCAGCCAAATATATGAAATAAGTGTTTTCAGCCATTTAGTATTGTCATTAGAAAAATATTGTGCATCGAGATTTAAAAGTACCTAATTAAAACTATTTAGCCTGAAAATATATTGTTTGATTCAAGAGATCCAGACGCCAATTTAAAGGTGATAGATTTCGGAGCAAGTGAGAAGATGATTGACTCTTCCTTTCTGACTAAAAAGATTGGGACTCCCTATTATGTAGCACCTGAAGTGTTGTCAGATTAAGGGTACGATGAGAAAGTAGACGTCTGGTCTTGTGGAGTCATCTTGTATATTTTGTTGATTGGAAGACCTCCATTTAAGGGAAGCAGTGACATAGAGACTTTGAGATTGGCAAGATAGGGAAAATTGAATACGAATAGTGAGAGATGGTTGAGAACTAATGAAAATGCTAAGGATTTGATTATGAAAATGATTGTAGTTGATCCAAAGAATAGGATAAGTATGCAGGAGGCTTTTAATCATCCTTGGATTTAGAATATTTAATAGAATGAGATTGAAGATATAAATTTAATAAAGAATTTAAGTCAATTTTCAGCTTAGAATAAGTTGAGGGCTGCAATCCTTTAGTTTATTTCTGTTCAATTAGTAAATAAGGAGGAGAGTTAAAAGCTATTTTAAACATTTAAGACATTAGATTTGAATGGGGATGGAGTTTTAACAAAGGATGAATTGATGAAGGGGATGTTAAGTGCGGATATTGATCATCTAAAAGCTGAGATTATGGCAAATGGATTAATATAAGAATTGGATGTTAATGAATCTGGAAAAGTCGATTTTACAGAATTCATTTCTGCTGCATTAGTTTAACAATAAAAGATTACAATTAATAATATCAAATTAGCATTCAGAATGTTTGATTTAGATGGAAATGGAGTGATCAGTAAATCTGAATTGGAGAGTATTTTTGGGGGGATTGAAATAGACAATTAGGCTTGGGAGGATATTTTGTAAAAATGTGATTTCAACAAAGATGGAGTACTAGAAGAAGAGGAGTTTATTAATCTGTTGGAGAATATTTAATTATGAATTCATTATTCTTATAGAAAGTTTTTAATTGATTATAAATAACACATTTCATATCGATTATCCATATTGAATTAATTTTAATATGTATAGAAATTTGGGTCATTCTTCTTATCAAGCCATGAACATAATTCATGAAGAAAATGGAAATCAGTTATGGCTGGGTGATTACACAGCTGCCTAAGATAAGCCAACTCTTGACAAGAAGGGAATAAGAACAGTGTTAACAGTTGCATGCTAACTTAATATCAAATATAATGATTAGAACATGAATCATAAAGTAATCTATCCCTAAAATTGTAGATCTATTCAATTCTAGACTCAGAATAGGCAAATGTAGCATAGTTTTTTGATGACTCTTTTTATCATATTAAAAATGGGTTGAAATCTGGATCTGTTCTTGTTCATTGTGCAGCTGGAGTTTCGAGGTCAGCATCCATAGTAATAGCTTATCTCATGAGAAATAAAGGATGGACATACAGTGAAGCATTCTCTCATGTCAAGAGCAAAAGATTTGTCATTTGTCCAAATAGTGGATTTTAACGATAATTGAAACTATTTGAAAAACAACTAAGATCACCCAAAGAAAATGAAAAATAACCTAACTAAAAAGAATCAGAAGATAATCAAGTTAATCATACTGAAAAAGAAGTAGAAAAACCACTTGACATCAAAAAATCTGAACCATAAGTAAAACTCGGAAATTAAATTAAATAAGAGGCTATCATTTAAAATGAATTCAGATAAACCCTTAAAAACAATGATTTTCTAGGAAATACTTCAAAATAAGAAACTAAAACTAATTTTCTTCCATAAAACATCAATAACAATAGAAATTGTATGCTCACTACTAAATTTAATAACACAAGAACAAATATCCAATAAAACAAAATCAATTTATCAACTATGCAAACATCCTACAATTCTTCTTATGCTGGACCTCAAATTGTTACACATGCCCAAAATAAGTTATTTGAAAAATAAGCTTTATCCATTTTGCCTGGTATTTCGGCTAAGTCTAACTTAATTAATTATACCATGAATAATAGAAGAAACTTATGAAATTGATATGACTTCTGTATTGTTATTGTATTCTAACTGATTTGATATTTTGATTTAACTTGTTTTTTTAATTATAAAATTTGAATAATCCAATGAGAAGCTCAAGTTCTAACTATTCACTATAAAGAGATTTCTAAAAGCTTGAATCAAGATTAGATAGCATTGAATTGAGAAATAGAAGTGGAATCAGAAGTAAAAAAGAAGAGTCTGCGTATTCAAGAATTGATAACAAAGAAAACTATTCAATCTAAACAACAAAAAACCAATTATTTTCATATGGAGCAAAATACTAGCAGAAACTTCAAATGCAAAAATCTAAAGTAGAGATACCTGTAGTTGAAGTCAAAAGAGTGGATGATAAAAAAAAGTTGAGTGTAATTTTCAAATTTTATGCATCCTTTGGAGACAGAACCAATATTGATTATATCAGATCAAACAAAATACATAAATTGATGTCGGACTCACAAATCAGACTTCAAAAACAAGATTAGTAATAAATTGATTTACTATTTGTTAAAGCAAATAGAAATAAACCAAACATGGATTTTGAAAACTTCTATTACTTCTTAGAATTATTATCTGAAACCCTATATGGAGAGGATAACTCATTTTAAATATTAATGGACAACCATTTGACTCCATTATATGAGAACATAATCTCTTCAACTGATTTGGGGGATGAGGAGACAAAATTATCTTAAGAAATTGATCCAATTTGCCTGAAGTTAATGTAAGTTGTTATACAACCAATCACCTTTATTTATAATAAATACTTTCCTCCTTAATTTAAGAATTTCAATTTGAAAGACTAATAAGAAGAATTAATGTTGAAACAATAGATTCGATCATCTCTATTTTTATTTTTAAAAGAGTTTGAAATCTGCCCTCAATTCATTACTAAAGGATCTGCTTATCTCCTATTAGATTCCATTTAAGCAGATCCCAATTTGCCACAAATTTGTTAATAAAAAAAGTAAAAGTCAAAATTCGATGTTAATTAATTTTGTTGTTACATTATAAAATTAGCTATGATGACACTTCAAAGCTTCGATGATTCCGCTTAAGAACAATAAATGATAACTCCATTACAAAAATTGGCATTTTTATTCGAGCGCATGGAATTGAGTCAAGGATTTAACAATCTGGAAATACCTTCAAATAATTCTAAAATGAATTGGAAATTAAAAGTACCAGAAGAACTTATAGAATTAATTATTAGTGATCCTGATGCAATTCAATATTTGAACTCGACTACCCAAAGAATGAAGATTCATCATTTAAAAAATGAAGAATTCTATGATGAGTAAGTCAAAAGAATCAATACAGTACCTACTAATAGAATTCGACCATCGATCTAAATTAATAAATAATTCGAAGAATAATGCCAATAATTATTTTAAGAAAATTACACTTAATTGTTTAATATCTACAGACAATATTCAGGAATTAACTAATAGACTGGACAGGATAATGAATTAGTTGGCAGTAAATGGATGAAATTCTTAAAAGATGCAAATTTAGTTAACATTAATTTAATTGATAAAAATAGCAAATTATCATACTAAATACCTCACAATGAAATCGATCTAATCTTTACCAAAGCCTGCACAATATCTCAAAACAATAGAACTTCAGTTCCAATCAAATAAAAGAAATAAACAATGAATTTCTTATAATTTTTAAAGGGTCTCTAATTGCTAACCAATGACATCCATGTGTTAAAAATCATTTTGAATGATCATATATTGCATCTGATGAGTCAAGGACCAGAAAATAAAATGAAAGATCTCCTCTCTTAATTAATGAATATATTAAAGGATAAAGAAATCGTTGAGTTTTTGGGTTTGTTACATAAATCCATTTTAGTATACTATAAATAATACACTATTGGTAAATAGATAATGAATTTTGAGTAGTTTTTAAGATTTTACAAAGTAATTTTATGATATTTAATTATTAGGATTTTTCAATTTTCCCTGACTTATTGACCAAAAATAAGATCGTTTAAATATTTTAGATATTGTCCAAATTATATGAGAATCAAGAAAATTCAAATATAAAGAGTGGCCATATTGATTAACACATGTTCGTAGAATCTCTTGCCCTCTCTGCTTTGGAAATCTCTTATAATGATGATGAAAATTTAAGTTAGATAGAGAAAGTAATAATTGCATAAATAGTCGTTTTAGATATATTTTTTGATTGAGAGATTAAATTAATCGGAAGGCCCTAGGATTGTTCAGAAGTAATTGGGACATACAACGTATAATTAATATTTAAACTTCTAGTTGTCCTTCTGGCCAAGACTGGGACTTGTTGTATCATATAAAAAAGAGGTTTTCATGGTTGATACAATAATAAGAATAAGTTTCTTATGAATAATGACTTCATATTATTATTTTTATATTTTAGAGATAAAGAGTTTATCATAAAAAATGTCATCGTTGCTGTCATTAATGAGTTAACTGTCATCAAAGAGATCTCAAGAAGTTTTAGACAGTGAACAGGAAATTCAGAAAAAAGCATATGTACCTTCAATGCAAACTCCTTTTGATAGACTTAAATTAAGAAAAGATGAGGAATTGTAGAATGTACAAAATAATATATAAAAGAGTCCCCCTTAAAAGTAAATTTGTGTAATTAATCTCTATGCTCTACCTCATTTGTGTTGGATACATTATCAAAATCATTATAAGATTTAGATGCATCAAATAACTTATTCGATTAATTCCCAAATCAATTAAGGTATATATCATAGTATAATTGTAACACAGAAATTACATCAACATCAAGAACCTCAATTTGAGTAATAATCAGATCTAACAAATTCCAACTAAATTCTATCTTCCGAATTTAGAAAAATTAACTTTGTCTGAAAATTAAATAAGTATAATCATTATCATAGTCTATTTAGAATAATTGCCATCGAGTTTATTTAAGCTAAAGACTCTAAAAGAGTTAAATTTAAATAGCAATAATTTAGAATATTTACCTTCCGAATTATTTGAATTAAAATTAATTTACCTTGGACTAAGATCAAATTAATTTACCACCCTTCCAGTTAGGTATGAGTAAATTTTAGGCTCATTGTAATATTTCGATCTCGATTGGTTCGATTATTGTGCTATAAATTGTAAATTAGAGGAGCAAGTCAAATAAAAACTAGTATCATTGGGCTAAAGAGTAGTTTAGAGATAAGAAATAATAACATTTTCATTATTTTATTATTACATGGTTGGCAAGCTGTTTGATATTGAATAATTAGTTTAAAAGTATTAAATATAATAATATTAGTGGTAAGAATATCCTATTTACATTTATTTCCAGAGATTCCACAGGCTTATTAAAGCAATATAGTTAAAAATATCCAGAATTAATTATGATCAAAGATGAGGATGGTTATTCTCCTCTTATTTATGCATTTAACTTGAATAGAACAAAGTGTATTCAATGTCTATTGCCCATTTTTAAGAAAAATTTAATTGAGATGTAAACTCTGTTTATGTTATCAGCAAAACGACAGGACCTTAACTTAATAAAAATGTTAATAAAGAATGGGATTGAATTGGATCAGCAAATCGAAAAGGATATTAATGGACCTAATCAAATTGGTATTACTGCTGGATCAACTGTAATGCATGTAGCAATGACATCTTTCGGCAGAAATGCACAATAATAATAACAAGCATCTATGATGGTCAAAGTAGTTTAAAACTTAAAGAATAGCTTCTTTTAGATATGGGATGTGATCCAAATATTAGAGACCAATTGAAATTAACTAGTTTACATGCCGCTGTAAAATTTCCATCTTTAGCTGCTGTACGATTTGCTAGTACTTCTCCAAAATTTGATTTCCAAAAAAGAGATCTATTTAAAAACACTCCTCTTCATAGCGCAGCTTAGATGGGGCTAGTGACTATATTGTAATTGATTTAAGGAAAAAATGTTAATCCATTCTCTTTAAACTTTTAGAATAAAACAGCCAAATAAGTGTCTATAACTTCATTGTAAGTAATTAAAGTCTAAAGGAAATATGAAAATCATTATTTACGAAAGAAATTATTCATAGAAAATGAAGATCTTCCAACCTTATAAAAAAATGAGAATTTGATAAGCCTCGATAGTTACTAAACAATAACTTAGAATTTTTAAGCAACAGAGATGAAAAGTTAAATACTGTCCCCTTAATCTTAATAGTAACATAGAAGGGGTTTCAGATTAAATTTATCTTAAGTAAAATTGAGAGAATAAAGTGGTCAATTCGCTAATCGATAGTAGCAATCATCCCAAACATCTTTGCCATCTAAAATTCAGGAAATTTTATCAAACATTACTTAAATCATGGAAAAATATTAAAATAGCGATAATCTTCTTTTGGAATTGAAAAATTTATATTATTTCACTGAAGTCCTTCAAGAAAAGTTGATTATCGCTATTTTTGTAAACTTGATCATAATGAAATTAAAATATGGCTGGAAATATTTATCAAGCTTTGGTACATCTACTATTTCAGTTTTAAACTAAATAAAGCTTATATATTAAAAGCCTTTAAGTGCTAATGAGTATTTTATCTACTAAAACCAAGATTGTATTTAAAAATACAAATAAAATTGTTTGAATATGTAAGAAATAGAAGACATATCTAATAAAAACTTTAAGATTCAAAAATAGTAGTTATCATTGAATTTAAAATATAATCTGCATAATAATTGGGAAGAAACAATCAATTAATATGAGTAATTCTATTAAAACAGTTTGGGAGACACTTAATGGATGGCTAGTATCAAAGGACTAAAGGTTAAAAATAAAATAAAGACAGAAAATAATAATAGAATGTTACTTTATTAATATGAGTAACTTTAAAACAACTCAGCCTCTTAAACTCAATTCATTCGAGTAATACAAAGATAAATGGACTATTATAAAGAGTAGAAGGTGGATAATTCAGAATCAGCTTGTAGTTTAAGTGATAGATTGAATCAATACAACAGAAATACATTGATCCATAAGAAAGTTTAGCAGCTTGCCGTTTAAAAACCAAACAAGATGGAATTTCTTTTGAGAAATTATAGTTAGACTGCTAGAAGAGTGTCACCTTAAGTGTAATAGCACCTTGGAGAAAAGGCAAAAAGCTTTCGAAAGGATTCGGCTATCATAAATTCAATAGATTTTTCTTTAGATGATTTATGATTGAAATTAAAAATGGAAGAAGATAGTTATATTTAATTATTTATTTTATTTTTGTTTTTTGTACATAATGCAATAATAATAACTCATTTTTGAGTCTCTTCTTTAATCAATGAAAGACCTTCGTCAATATAGGTTTGAAGTTCTTAGCTGTCTTCAAACATATTCAAGATGTCACCAATTTCAAATTATGATGGATCAATTAACATACCTAAATAATTACACTAAATAAGTACCTACAACTTTTTTGGTTGCCTCTTTATCCTTTACAACATCGAAGACTTTTTGGAAAAGTAGATTACCAAGAACATTTCTTTAATCAATTACAGGGATTTTCAAGAAATCTTCCATTCTACTTTAAACTAAAGCATAATCAGAAAACTCTTGGATGAATGTCTAAGGAGGAGTTACTTTGTTAGGGAGTAGTTAGATAGGTTTAGTGTTCATGGGGGGAGGTCTAAGATTTTATGGTCTAACCATGGGGAAAGGACCGCCTCTTCCTCCTCCTCCTCTTGGGGGCATTTGTCTCATTCCATTTTGTCCAGGTGGGAATGGCATTTGAGGAGGAATCATGGGGAGGTTTCCACCGAAAGGTGGTTGGAGTAGTTGTCTTCCTCCTGGATTTTGGAAGATGCTTTGACTTTGTTTTTTGATTTCCTTGAATTCCTTCCTCATAGATTTGGACAACAAGATATTCATCATCACATGGCCATCTTTGAAAAATGCTTTCTTTATTTTAATGATCTCTTCATTTTTGTCATCATAGATTTCTGATCTTGCTCTTTTTGAATCTTCTAGGGTTTGATAATGGACAAAGCATTATTATACCTAGAATCTGGGATTCTTGGTTTTTCTGATTGTTAAACGAATAACTTTTCCAAAGCGTGATAAGAACTCTTGGATTTACTCCTTAGTGACATCTTCCTTGATATTTTGAACGAGAATCAATCTGTCATCAGGATTCAAGTTTTTGCTGTAGACCATATTGTAGAAGAAATTTTCACTCTCTCCTTTGAAAGTGTCATTATGATCCTGTGCCATTTCTTTGAATGCCTAAGTAATTTCAGCAATAGTGAAGGCTTGACTTGCATCGCTATTGACAGGTGGGCCATGCTTATTGATTAATTCCAAAGCATGATGAGCACCTGAATTGATACATGGATGAGTTCTTTATTTTTCGCAAATTTCTAGATTGTCTCTGGCTTGTTCTGAGGATTCGAATGAGATCATTGTCCAAGGTTGTCTTGTGTGGAAGTCAATTTTGACAAAGCAGTCTTTAACTTATTGACCATGCTTAGTGAAATACTCCTTAATAATTAATGACCATCCATATTCGATGGCTCTGATAACCTTATCCTTTTCGAAGTACTTCTATTGAAGTGGCTTAGCAAAGGCTCTCAGATAGATGGAACTGGATTCGATCTTTCTCTCTGATTGGGCTTTGAACTGTTCCAATTTCAGCAACTTTCCCTTGTGAGTGATTGGGTGATTCATAATTCTCTTTATCAAGTTATCAGCATCTTCCTTCTTCTCAAATTGAACATAACCATAACTAAAAATTGTAATCCTCAATTACATACTTCAATTGCTTTCCTTGACTGTCTCTGTGAATATCAACCGATAACACAGTACCAAACCTTGAAAACTCTTACTCCAATTCCAAAATATCAGCATCTTCTGAGAGATTATTGATGAAGATGTTGGCTTTTTTATCAGCAATGTGATAATTGAAGTATGGCTTGACTCTGATGATGTTTCTGATGAAGACTTGATTATTAAATTTCTTTCTTGCTTCCTCAGCAGAATCTGGATGAGCAAATGTAATGAATGCTTATCCTTTTGATTTCTGAGTGATCTTGTCTTTGGTAATCTTTAAGCTTTGGATTTCTCCTACTTCCTTAAACTTACGATACAGATAATCTTCTGAAATACCCTAGAAGTGATTGTGAAGAGACTCATACCTGATCTAAGTTTTCAATGAAAATGATGGTCTTCATTTATTATGGAGTAGTTTGGGGAGGTATTTATTGGTGAATTTCTTTTGTTTGCATATTTTGATTTTTAAATAAATATTTTGCTTAAAGATTTAAATTGAGTTTGCATATTAATTAAATGTTATACACCATTGCTTTCCATTAATTATCATTCCTGAAGATTTATTAAACTAATGTGAATCAAAATTCATTTATAAATGATGAACTATTCTTTGACTTAATGGGTGGAATCCCCATTATGTATTCCAGATGAACAAAAAAGAGGAATCCACAAAGATATCATTTCAATTAGATTAAATATATGATAAATTATTTTAGTTAGCATTTATTGATCTAATTCTATTTGGTGTCCAAACTGCCCAATAAGAGCAAGTATTCTGTAGACAGAGCAGAATGAGTATTTAATGGCTAGATATTTGAAATGAAGTTAAATATAATTATGGTTATTATAAAATTAAGAAATATTTCTTTTATAAAGTTGATATAATTTATGTAGTGTGCACCTGCATTATTAAATGACATTTGAGGAGGGAAGGCGTTGCGGATTGATGTTTGGAGGGAAGAAAATCTGAGGAGCAATGTAGGAAACTTACAGAAGAATAATAACTGATTAAAATAATAAGAATTTTGTATTAATATGGAAAGAAAATAATGCATATTTATTTTTAGTATATAAATGAAAGCTTTAATAGTAGTTACTTAGTTGTATGTCGTAATTTGTGGTAAGTTTATCTATTACTGAGAGTAGTATGGGAAGTATACAAGCATGAATTATATGACGTGGCATCAAGTAGTGATTGGATAGGTTTAAATTCTGATTCAACTCTGAGTTCTTTAACAACAATAGACTCTACTTTGTGCACTTCAGTTTCCTCCACCTATATAGCAGGTGGGAAGGATAAGATATGGAGAAGAATTTTATTGCCAGCAAACCGCAAGTATTCAGGAATAAGAATCGAATTGGACTTATATTATATTGATTTTTGGGACAACACCAGAACGATCATATATCTGAATAACGAGATCATTTAAGATAGCACATTTAAATCATCCTCAGCGACTCCATCAGTGGTGTATTGCCAGATTCCTGGAGGTCCTAATTCAGTTGATGATCATTTGGACAAAGTAACTCACAGTTCAAATTTTACAGCAAACCAAATTAATATCGAAATAGTTAAGTTAGGATTGCCAATAACGAGAATTTTCGGATTATCCAATTTTTATTTGTATGTATAGTTCTGTGACAAATACTGTGACGTATGCGATATAGATGGAAATTGTTTGACATGTGAGAACAACATCCAAATACAGAAAGGAGACTGTTAGTTTGAGAATCCAAAGAAATTAAAACTCTATAACCCTGATTTATAATGGGTAGATGAATGTCCTTCTGGATATGTGCCAGATTATAATAGTTTATGTTAGCCAGGGACAAAAACGTTACTATTTGAAGATTTGCAGAGTAATTTTGCATCATACTAGTTTTATTTAAATAAGGACAAATACTATTCTGATAAAAATGATAATAGTTATAGAATAATGGATATTGATGGAGTGAAGATTGCAGGTCCATTTATGTATAATGAGGAATTAGTTTATTCTCCTTTGTCCATAATATCGAATTCTCTGATTTTAGTGAAATTTCGATTATATTTCCTACAGTATAATCAATCACAACAAGTGGGAGGTCGAATCAATGTGAAATTTAATGGATTTTATGTGTTAGAATTAAATGACTTTGAGGATGTTATGATTTTTTCTACTGTTGGTGAAAGCAAGGCAAATCAAGCTAATTAATGTTAGTTTGCGATTTTTCAACGCTGTTCTTATAGGGATGTTTAATTTATTACCAATTTGAATTATGAGATAAATAAATTGACATTTGAAGGTAGATTCACTATAATCAAACCATATAGAGGTTGGGGGATCACTAATTTTCAGATTTTCAAATTGACGTAATCAGGAAATGTAAATGAGTGTTAAGGTTACTGTTTGACTTGTAAATCAAAGGATAAGAAATCTTGTTTATCTTGTTAAACTGGATACTACTTATTCGATGATAAATGTGTTTCTCAATGTCCACTTCAAACAACTTAGATTGGAAGCTTATGCCAAGAAGATGGGATGGGGAGTACATTCTAATATATTTTTAATTCATTTTACGATAACAACAATTATCAGAGCGAGATGACCAAGATTAAATTAGATTCACCTGCCGGTTCTAAAGACATGCCATTTAGTAAATTTACTTATGGAATGACTGAATACTCAATTTTGGGTGGTCTATCAATTTTCGATGGAATGCCACAAACATACAAATTTACATCACCTAATTAATTTTATAAGGCATACATAAAGATGAATGTAATTGCGATTGATTATTCAACTGATGATAAGTTTAAAATTACCACAAGTCTAACAGTACCAGCCTATTATGTGGGATAAGCAGTTGGAGATTAATTTCAATTTGTTTCGGTTGGGAATAAGATAGGAAAGAGTAACTTAGAATATCATGCAGAAGTATTCATAGAGACTCCTTTTCTTACAACTTCAACAAACTCATTTTAGATCACTTTTCAGAGAAATGATGCTATAGGCCTTCACTAATATTTTGGCATATACAATTTTCGAGTAATGGTAGAACCATGTCCATAATTCTGTGATAGTTGTGATAGCACAGGATGTTTGCTTTGGTAGATTAAAACATCTTTATCATCTGGTTCATGTGCCATTGGGTATTACTATAATTCAAAATTTGAGGAATGTTAATAATGTTCAAATGGATGTTTAGTTTGTCAGTAATACTCATGTACAACCTGTTAAGCTGGATATATCTATTAAAATGGATAGTGTTTTTGTAGTACGAATCTTGAGAACTTTTCAGTTTGTACGACCTCATAAAATTGTCAAGCAGGATGTTTGGTTTGTGGATAGAGCTTACAATTAACATTATTAACTATTTCATCTCCAACCTATTATTAGAACTGTGCTAAATGCGATGAATCTAAACATTATTGGATGGATAAAGATTAATGTAGATGTTTGGAAGGCTATTACATGGATATTTCAGTTTGTTTGCCCTGTTCTAAGTATTGCAAGGCTTGTCAAAAATAGCCTAGAGTTTGTACTGATTGTGATGCGACATTGAATCGAGAATTACACTATTAATAATGTGACTGCAAACAAGGTTACTACGAGCAAGAGAACTTTTTAGATTGCAGTTAGTGTGAATAAACCTGCTACACTTGTCGTTTCTTCGCTAATTACTGTACTAGTTGTTATCCAGATTAATTTAGAACCATTCTCAATAGAAAATGCGAATGTTAAGATGGCTATTTTGATGAAGGCATCTCTATTTGTACTAAATGCAATCCTAAATGTTTAACCTGTTCTAGTCTAACGAATTGCTTATCCTGTTACACCTCTTAAAATAGGAAATTAAGTATCAGAAATAGTACTTGTATATGTATGTCTGGACATTTTGAAGTTGAAAATCAACTCGGTTGTCAAAGTTGTCACTTCTCTTGTCAATAATGTCTACCTTCTCCAAATATTGATATGTGCACTAGATGTCCATCTTCCAGAGAACCTTCCATCAGTTCAACTGTCTTTGCATGTAACTGTAAAAGAGGCTACTATGAGTCAAACATGAAGGAATGTTCAGATTGTAGAAATTACTCAAATCCCCCAACTACTCATTATTGTTATAGTAAATGTGGCGATAAGATTGTCTAATGGAATGAAGATTGCGATGATGGTAATTCAGATCCTAAGGATGGTTGCTATCTGTGTTTATTACCAAATTCATACTGTTTTAATGCCTTATGTTCTAAATGTGAAATGGGAGTTTGCGTTAAATGCATAGATGGCTATTTTATTACCAAAAATAATTAATGTGAACGTTGCGATTAATCCTGTTTAACTTGTGTCACCCGATATGATAATTGCACTTCCTGTGTCTTATATGATACAAATCATACAAAATGCGTAATGTGCTAAATTGATAAGGGTTATCAAATATTAGACAATAGTTGTGTGTCCATATGTGGAGATGGACTCAAAGTAGATAAAGAAGGATGCGATGATGGCAATGACAAAAGTGGTGATGGATGTACTGAATGTAAGGTCGAAGATGGGTGGATATGTGAAAACACTTGCGAAAGAATACTCTATCCAATAATTCAACTGACCGAATCTAAATTCGATACTTAATATGACGGAGTTAGAAATTTAGAATTAACAACCGATATCAAACTCAAAGTTACTGGAAAAGTTGATAACATATGCTCGTTTTCATTTAAGGACTCTGAGTCTTTTGAAATCTTAAGCTCTGATTTTTAAACAGAAACCAAAGATGATTACAATATTTTAACCACTATTCTGAAACTCCAACTCAATGATAGAAGTGAAAACCCAATTTTAGTATGTAAAATACTCAACCCTGATAAGTATATCAGTGAATAAGGGTTCACCTTCAAAGAGACATCCTTTGAATTCTCCGTGATACCATTTTATAAGTAATCTCAATCGGTCATCTCAGCAACAGAAGGTCTTCTGAACTTTAGTAAATATGTGTTGTATGTACTTTTGGGATTAGCCATATTTGCATTTCTGGTTGGAGGAATGCAAATCTTCTGGAATTTACTTGATATCTTGTAATTGATTTCCTACTTGCAATATTTCAATATTTTGTATCCCTATAATGTCGATACGTACTTCTAGTTATTTGATTTTGCTCAATTCGATTTCATCAAAAGCGTAGTCAATATAGAGGATATTATCAATAATCATGTCACTTCTCCAGAGCCAGATTACAAGTTTGCTTTGTAAGGGTATTCCACTACCTTTTATATCAACTCAGTTGCTGTTTTGACAGTCTTCTTGACAACTTTAGCAATCTTTATCGGTTGTAGAGTGGGATTCGTATTCTTAGCTAAGCTCTTACAATACTACTCTGATGAGAATGACACCTCTTTAGAAGAAGAACCTAATGTTATCAAATTCATTTTGTTTAGAATCAGCAGAAACATTTCTAAAATGTTCCTTAACATTATTGGAGAGTTCTCTTCAGGCTTAATTAGAACTTTCATGGCTGTAGCCTATGATTACAATCTCTCCATTTTCTTGCAAATTAGAGCACCCAATTCAGATAATGCTTTATTGCAATCCAGCTTTGCTTTAAGTATAATATTTTTAATACTTCAACTGTTCTTTTTGTTCAAGGGTTTTACATTCATGAGCAATCAACCATTTTTCTATCAACAATTCTTTATTAAATAGAAATATGGATCCTTGTATGAGGGAATAGACATCTAAGCATCCAAGCCTTATTCTAACTATTACAACCTTGTCCTCCTTTGCAAAAAGGTACTTTTCATATTCTTTTTGGTTAATCTTTATTATGATGCAAGCTTGTAAGTCATAACGTGTTCAATGCTTAACGTGATCTTTTCAGTTTACATCGTATATAATACTCCATTAGAAGATAAATATGAATTTTATAAGACTGTCGGATCAGAATTTTTTATTTGGTTAGCTGAAATCTTCATTTTAGGATTATACTATTCTTAGTAACAAGGCCCAGATGAGAGTAAGGAATTATTAATAGGATGGTTTATTATTGGGGCTTGTACAATGTTGATCATATATCAATTCATTCTTGATGTTAAGCAACATTATGAATTCTTGATAAAAGAGTACAAGATTATTGCTAAATTACTCTCAAGAATTCGAAGTTTGTTTCGATAAGAAGAACATAGAGAAGAAACTTAAGACAATTTAGTTGATGTTAAATATAGCAAATAAACTCTAAGAGGAAAGATGTCAACTCAAGCTACTTTAGGAATTAAACAAAGAAAATTAATCACCTTTAAATTTGAAAAATGAATAATTAATTATGTTTTTGTTTTTAATATTATATTTAATCCATCTTTTATTAATAGTTATTAGTTTGACTATAATTTCAAAGGCATTTCCTTTTCCTCTTACTATTATTCAACATTAAGATAAATACATAATTGAAGTAATGAATTTAAAAATAATATTTAAAAATTAAAAAATCCAAAACTCTTTAGAACTAGTAGGACTAGAAAAAAGATTGTGATGGATTATCCAACAATAAACTTAGAATTTTGTGAAAAATGTATTATATAAAAATAAAAGAAGAGATTATCAAATATTAATAAAATAATTATATGTAAGAAAATGAGTTTGCAATTTCAATTTGCGTTCCTTCCTTCAAAAAAAATGATGATGTTGTATACTACTAGTTAGTGTAAGATAATCATATTAACTTTTATATAGATTTACTGAGAATAACTAAAGGTGTTCCTTTTCAGTCGATTATCGCTATTCACATTTAAAGAAACTACATGAATCATTATAAACTCTTAAAGGCAATTTGCCGAAGTTTCCTCCGACTAATTGGTGGAGATCCACCAACCAGAATGATGAATTAGTAGAGGAGAGAAGAATACAGTTAGATTACTTCTTTAAAACTCTCCTCTTATGCAAAGAAGTGTGTAAGAGTTTGATTATGAAAAACTTCATCCTCAAATCACAATGTTTGCATCTAAAAAAGATCGAGAAGGTATTTAGAATCTTATTTAAATTAGGAATAACTAATTCTGATCAAAAAAGAAAGAGAAGCCGGAGCTGCTCCTAATGTAACTTAGAAAAAAGCCAAATCTCAAGTAAGTGATTTGATGAAATTGTAGTTAACAACTCCAGTTTGTGGTCCAGCTGAAGATCCAATTGAAGATCCCAGAGAGAGATCCCGCTCTTGGGAATTCAAAATAGCCAAGAAGAAATCACAATCCATGTGCAATAATAATTAATTGAATAACGTATAATATATATCATAAGAAGTAGTTGTCCTTTGGGGGTATTCCAATTTTCAAAGGCATTATCCTGAGATTGAAATGATAAAAATAGAATTCATAAACAATCATTAAAAATTCTTTAATTGTTTCATAAATCCACTAATTTGATAAATTAATATCATTATTTAATTTGATTTTTTGTATTAACAATCACTTCTGGTGATCTTTTTTAAAATTGACGTAATCAAAAAACTGAGGTATTTTTTGATAATTCACATTTTATTGAATGAGAGATTAATCTTAATTCTCCTGAAGGTTTACCTTAACTGCATCTATAATTTTAACTCAAATAACTCTATTTTTTTAAATCTTGATAATTGATTGACACTTTTTATTCACCAAGCTGGAATGATGGCAATATTATCTAATGTGCATATTGTGTATTAGGTTTACCTTATGCAAGGTAGCATCAATTAATCTTCACAAATAAGCCTAAAAATTCAAAATGTATTTTTTTTAAATTGCTAGATAACAGAGAAATTATTATTTATCTTAAAAAGCTTCATTCTATATTAATTATGAGATATTATTTAATTTAAAGAGTAATAATAATATTATTCGTTGATATGTAAATTTCGATTGCGTAATGTGAGTATTCAAAAGCAGAAATTTTAAGTCACATTAATATTAATAATATTATATAAAATGAAATACCTTATTGCCTTATTGCTAGTATCAACCATATTAGCAGCTATTCCAACTAAAGTTACCAATTGTATGGCCAATCCAAAAATTGTTTTCACTGAGGCAACCTTCAGTGTTACTCCAGCCAAGGGTGTAGATGAAACAATAACACTTTATGGAACAGCTAATGAGCACGCAGAATTAGCCAACGTTCAACTCAAAGCTAAATGGAATGGCATGGATGCTTTTGAAGACAATTACCCAGAAGATGAAGTCTATGACAAAGGAGATCGTGTCACCTACGAAATGACTTAAAACTTCCCAACTTTTACTCCATCTGTAAGATATTTAACATTTGAGTGTAGGGCAAAATTGTTGTCTAAATGTGGTTCTAAAATGCTAAGGGAACTAACTTTGCTTGTGCCGAAGTAGGATTTGTTATTTGATTCCTATATATAGATGTTCATTAAATAAGATATAAAAACTCATATTAAATTCAATATTGAAATAGATGCATGATCGAGACTGGTTCTTCTCTTGGCCCCTAATTGATTGCTGTGCACTTGCACTTGAAAACATAGCATTTAAATTTTGAATTCTACGACAAATTACTTTGAATTTTATTTTCGAAGAAGGAAAGTAAAAATTAAATTAAAACACAGTACTTTTTGAATATATAAATATTAATTCCTATAATAGTTCATATTAAATAGCTCAGCCAAACTTATATATCATGAATCCCAATTGATTCAGGTAGAAATGTATCATGCATTGACTCTCGTAAGAAACGAATGACCCAAAGTGCAATCCTACTATAACATGCCATGTCCCTTAAAATTTATTATCAAATTCATTTTTTATGTATTCTGCTATGTCTTTAAAGTATCTCTTTTCTCTTTTAGCTGACAATTCTTTGGGTTAATAAAAGCTAATTACTAAAAGCGTGTTCAGCAGTTTCAAATGCAAATTCTTTTTATGCCTGACTCATATCACAAAAAGTGACTACGGGTTTATGTATTTCCAAATTCGAAACTATAACCACTGCATCCTTTCCCTGTCCTCCTCTACCAAAGGACTTATCAATAGCCGAGCTTCCAATCTTTGATATGTCCATTTATTTATTATATATTAAATAAATATAATGAGAGCTAAGCTTTTAAAATTAATTGAAATCTTTTCTGACCAATAGGAGAGGATTATGTATATATATACATTTATTATTGCCGTATATTTTTGTTTATTCCTATGCGAATAGTTTGCAGGTATGTAATAAGTTTTGATTTAGGGCACTTTTTAATTAAATTTATGCTTATCTTAAGACTTTATTATAATAAAGATAAGCAAATTTATAATGAATGATTGTAAGGATGTTTAGATGTTAACTGATTAAATAAATGAAAGAGAGAAAAGCATTATTCAGTATTTGAATGAAGATTTGAAACTCGAACAATTAACAGATCCACAAAAGAAATAGATAAATTTTGAAGTCTCTAAAAAAAAAACCATTTTCTCTTAAAAAACTTTAGATTCTGACAGTGAAATCTCTGAGTTCAATTCCAGTAGTACAATAAAGAGCACTCAATTGAAAATGAATAAGTCCCCTCTTCTAATAAGGAGACTCAGTACAATTGTGTTGGAGTAGATTTTTTGATTTTGTTATATTAAAACTAAATTGTTAATCTTTATCATGTATGGGATATTTTGGAGTCAGATTAGAAAGTTTGATCTCATGAGAGTCATGGAGATGGATATTTGTTAAAAAGTATTTGGTTGATTAAACTAATCGAATTGAAAAATAAATATATTACTAAATGTAACCAATACGAACGAACTCTGCCTATTTTCCTGCTCAAAGAAAGGAATCATCGCCAATTTCTAGGAAAATATCTTTTCAACAAATTAACAACAAGAATTCCTTCAAATCTTCTCATCTCGAAACTTCAGAGTAGCCATTGAAAAAAAATAATATTATTGAGTTACTTGGATTGAAAGAGAAATGTATTTTCACAATGCGCTATTTTAGAATTGATTGCATTGAAAGGCACGCAGTTTTAATAAAAAGAAGTAGAAAATATGTTTAAGTCTCTAAATAAATATGCTATGAAGATTTTGGACCAAAATGGTTTAAGTGAGATATGTATTCTCATTCTGCAATGGATAATCTAACATCGGGATTATCAAGATATACCCACCTAAATGTAAAATAATAACTAAATTTGAATTTAGATGTTTGGCATACAATAATTTGGGTTGTGTTTATAGGAGGATGAACCAAACACAATTGGCAATTAATGCTTTTGAAAATGCACTCTCATTGATCTAATAATATGATCAATTAAAAATGAAAACCATTACTCATTTGAATATCACAGCACTCCTGAGTCAAATGAATCTGTATTATTTTGAAATTTAATATTCCTAAGGCATGAAAAGGCTTTAAAGGAAGCAAAGAGTGCCATCTAATCAGCTTAATAAGAATTCGATTCTAACTCTAACGAAACCATTAGATATTTAGCTATGGCTCATTATAACTATGCCTTTGAATTGGAATCCTTGGATCGCATTAAAGAAGCAGTCAAATAATACAAGAGATCTTTGTAGTTCGTTTTAGAACACCTGGGAAATTAGGATCCATTATTTAAAAAAATTTATAATGGACATTAGTAGGCCAAATAAAAATTAATTGTTCACATGAATGAATAATCTCCAATTCTCTTTAAAAAGGTCTTATCTTTAAAAAAACATTTTGATGTCCCTACAGATGAAAGCTTCTAACAAACAACACCCTAATAAAGTCCACTTAGTCAAACCAGAAAGTTGGTATAGAGAAAGAGAATAAATTTTATCGAAAATGAAACAGTCAAAAAAGATCATACTTCCTCCATATTGAGAAGAAAGACAGATCAAGAAAGAATGGATACAAATAGAGATAAAGTGCAAGATATTAAGGCTAAATTGTTGGCACTCAATGTAATAAGTTCTGCGAAACCAAAATTGAAAACCTAGATTGAAAAAATTGAAATAGATTAATGGTCAAATTCAGAGCAGTCTGACTAGGAAATTAAATAATAGAGATCAACAGAGCGTTCTCCTTATAATAGAGGATCCTTTCTACTAAAAAACAGTGCTAAGGATCTTAGATTAAGTTTTCTTAATAAGTAGAGTCCTCAAAGGATTTATTTTGATAATTCATTAATCGAGAAGGAAAAATAGATTATAAGAGAAGTAGAAGAGTAGATTTACAATACAGATTAAATAACTAAAATATAGGCTTTGATTAGGATGAAAAAGGAGAGGAAGAACTTTCACAATCTTAAAAAAGCGTTTAAAGATAAGGGAAAATTACTAAAATCTGATGAATTAAAATTAAAGAAATTACAGAGGTTTCTTAAAAAAAAAGTACTAGAAATGAGATTCAAAGAAATTAAGGCAAAATTAATTCGATAGAGCAGATTAAAGTAAAACTATCAAAAACAATAAAAAGCCATGTAAAAGATTGTCACTTATCTTTTAAAATATAAAGCTAGTCAATAACGAAGACTCTAAAACTATTTGATTAAAGCAAAGTAGTTTCAAACTATCAGATAGGGTTTCTGTAATCCTATAATAAAAGAAGGAATTCAAACTGAAGAGTCATATGTATTTACTTTTTCAATTATGAATGACAACTCCTTTGTGAGATTCGCATTAGTGAATGGAATGAAAGAAAAAAGAAAGGAGAACTATTTGTATTTGGAAATGGATATAGAAAGTTTTTAAAAATCGTTAGGGTTATTGTTCTAATATTGTGAGGAATTGGAGAGTCTCATCATTGAAGAAAATAAACTATTAAGGAACATCAGAAATCTGATGACTTTAAGTTAATAGTTTCTATATTTAAATGAAGTGGATGGTAAATATATCGTTAGGGCAAAGACGGAAACAAATAAATAATTTATAGTATAAATTGAAAAAATAGGAGCTATTTTATAAGAATTAGTCTTAATTGAAAATAATAAATTAATAATCTAAGGCATAAATAATTTTGATTATACAGATGTTGTACCATAATACGAACCAATTAGGGTCATGAAGCCTCCCTTATATAATAAACTATTAACCTAATATGAAGAAAAGGCAATAAAATATATATAATCATTTGTAAGGGGGCATTTATAAAGATTAAGAATGTCAAAATGGGTTAACAGTAAGACCAAATAAATATATGAAACTTATTTGATTAGGACAAATAAGAATTAATATCTGCAGATAGTGAAGTCGAGAAATATTTATAGTAAGGTGAACTATCTCTATATCATAAATCATGAAACTTAGGGTAAATCAAATGACCTAGAGATCCAACAAGTTGTATTTAAATAAATGGGAGATATTTGTAGTGAAAACATATTTGAAATATTTAACATGGATTTAGTTACACCGTATATTGAATATACCGATGAAGCTTTGTATTGGATAAATAGGGAGAGAGAGTACTCTCAAAGGTCAGCAAGGTTATGGCAATAAATAACAAAGGCAAAGATGTGTGTAATCATTATATAAAGAGCAGTTATGAAATATTTGGTGAGAAGAAGATGTTAGATTAGAAATGCAATTGAAGGAAGGTTAGCAAAAGATCCATCTAAAGTGGTTGAAAGAATGATGTTGGCAAGAAGAGCAATGATTTATGTTGGGGAGAAAGCATGTTTGACTACATGTTTTTTAGATATCGAGAAAACAGACCCGAAGTCATCTGTGACAGGGATGAGTGAATATTAAAGTATAACTATTACATCTAAGCATTTGGAACATGCGTTTTCAATTGATATTGTTTTACCATATTATCAAAGATTGTTTCAACCAATGGAAATAAGCGAGATAACTTCAGTTGCATAAAAAATGATAGAATTCTCTTAAATTATTAAGAATAAGAAAGGTTTTGACAAAGTCGACTGTAAAAGTGTAGAGCAGACTTACAATTAATTCATATCATTATAAAATTCTGGTTAATAGGATGACAATACCTATCGAGAAAATACAATAGAAGCAAGATAAATTATCAGTTCTACTTTAACTTAGAAGTATTTATAGTAATCTACTATTATCAATGTGGAATTTCCACCAATGGCGATACGTCATTAACTTGAAGAATACAAGCAAATGAATTTTATCAAAGTTCTCTAATCTTTATTCAGGCTTCACAAATATAGAACAAATTTGAAAGGAAAGTAAAGCAAATATGTTGAGGAATATGATGAAACATCAATAAAGACATACGTTTTAAATACGTTGCCTTGTACCGAATATGGAACCAATCCTAATTTATTTTATGAAACATAGATTGATCAAAATTCTATTAGTGAATTGAAATCTGAAAACTCTCCTCAATTCCAAAAAGAATTTGTTGGAGAATTAATGGTAGAATTAAATGAGGTTAAATTTAAATTGCTAATATCATATTTAATCAATGAATAGACTTTTAGCATTTAGGCCGAGAATTAAATAACAAAAAATTTGTCTCAGTTATCTATTCCAATTACATAGCTCTAAGAGTACTATCAAATACCTTATGAATATTTTAAGGTAAACTTCAGTAAATTATTGTTGCCATGCTTCAGTTAGATTGAGGATACATTAATCTTTAATATCGATGAGATCTAAATGTAATGCATAATTGATGATTATCTGAAATCATAAAAAGATAAATCATATAAACTAGAGACGGATTAAATAATAGCCAAAAATGCAGATTAGGCATACAAGGCTTTACACAGTGATAAAGTAGCTATTGGAACTTATTAAAAGGGTTCAACAGCAATAAGTTTTGAGTTTCAAAGAATGCCTATGCTCTTAAGAATTATTCTATTATACTAAAATGGTTCAGAAAAACGAGTTATTGAAGTTGATTCAAATGAATTTCAGTCCAAATATATTAATGATAATCTACAAAACCTATCTAATCTTAGAGTGATTAACTTCTTCAAAGGATTTGCGCAAGCACTTACAAAAGTCTTAATAATAAATGAAATATAGTACACTCATAATTTTGAAGAGTTGAGGCCTGGTATATCCTTACTTTTGAGGGAAAAGTTTGTTTTAAAGATTTAGGGTATGCTATTGGTTAAGAGGATGGTAGAGAAATTTAAAATTTACAAACAATTAAAACGTTCTAAGCTCTTTCTTTAAAAATTCATATTAAATCATCAATCAAATTATGTAGAAATAGATTACTTTTTAATAAAACACAATTATCATTTACAATTGACAATGAGGGAATTGAGTTTTATAACTCATTAAGGGAGGGTTATAGAGAAGGGTAAGATTTCACTAAACAAAAGAAGATTCAGAGAAAAATAATTTATAATTAATTTAGTTGGTTTGTAGTAGGATAAGGAGAACTTGTATTAATCTTTGCATAAAAGATAAGATCAAATAGATTTCTAGAGAATTGACTTCTCTTAGTTACAATCTTATGACAAGATGAAAACAATAGAATATTATAGAGCATTAATAACTCCTTTGATTTAATTGATTCAAAAGAACTTGCACATCAATTTCATTAAATTTTAATTCGAACTTGAAATTCCAATCACATTTACTGAAAAGAATATTTAGAGGAAAAGAAAAAGAAAATTTTAGAATGAATCAAAATATCAAATTGTTACGGTTTGTATTCTAACAGCTTAGGCAGCCTTTAGAAGAAAGTTGTTTAAAAATTGGATACATTTGAAAGTTCTAAGAAATAGATAATTGTAAGAAAAAAATAGGTACTTTACTGGTAAATTTGTAATGAGAACTTTTAAGTTAATTTAAGAAGATCATATTTAAAATTATTATATTGTGAATGTGTACAAATAAGATGGAAAAATTGAAGATTAAATCTAGCTGACTTTTGAATTAATTCCAGCATAGAAATAAAATAGATAGAATAAACTAAAAACAACCTGCTTTTATGATACTTCTTAACTAATAAGTTTTGGATAGTAAAACTTATATGAGTTCTTCATAAATAAAATTAAAATAGAAGACAAAATAATAAAGTTTGATGAAAATAGGTTTTTAACAGTTGATGAAAATTATAAGTTCAATTAATCATAATTAATTAATCAGAAGGATGAAGAAGTTCTATAGGATAATGTTAGATTAATCACCAAAGATTAATAAGAAATACTCATTGATTAGGACAGAACTAATGATGCTATCGTTAATATAGTTTATACTAATTCAAAACACACTATTAATAAAAAGCAAGAAGAAGATATTTAGGATGATGTAACAAAACTATAAATTGATCTATAAGAAGTCAAAAAGTTGTATCCAAGTTTCAATTTTAGTAATCCTAACACAATGAAAATTTTAAGTTCCAATTTAATTAAAGGAGTCAAAGTAGAGCAAAATAGTGGAAATTTAATTATTGATAAAAGTAGGATTTAATCTTCTTTCATAAATCCTATCAATTTATCAAGAAATAAATAAGAATAAAATATTCCTGAATTTTTTAAAAAAGTGAGACTAACTTAAAGACCTCATTCCAATAATGTATTGGCAAAAAGAACATTCTACTATTAGGGTTAGAAACACTTGATTGTTATATGTTATGTCAGAAAAAAAATCAACAAATTATTGGTATAGGATAGGGATTGTGTATTTGATGATCATCATAGAATTTTTGAAATCAAGGCTCAAATCTTAAATTTAAAAGAAAGAATATAACCAATATTCTGGTATCTGACTCCTGATGATGCGTAAATTCTTACTCATCAGTCTACCATAGAAAATATCGCAAATATCTTAATACAATAGATTTAGATAGCAAATAACAAATTCATTTATTTATGCTTTGATTATCAAGACTAGTAATTAATAAAGTTAAAATATGAAGGAAATGTAGTCTTTTTTGTGGAAAACTCAATCAAACCTATGTAAGCGAAGTTTAAAAATAGAATTTTGAAAAACCATTATAATATATACAGAGGGACACTGGAGGCTGCAAAAAAGGATGGAAGTTTGATTTTGCATAAGGTTGGTAATTTGAACACTCTGAAGAGATTGTTTATAATGCTATTTATAGAAGGGAAAGAGGCTATTATCTATTTTAAGATTTATGATGTAAGTGATCAAATGTAAGAATTTTGGACTGAAATCTCAATTAAGAAAGTATTTATTTAAGATATTAATATAGTATATGAGCATTTATTTGTAGGATAAAACTAAGTGTTTAGAAGTTCTATTAAATTTTATTGAATTTAAAATAGAAATTAATAAAATCTTGTTTTTGCATCCCAAACCTGATATAGTGGAAGAATACTTGTTGAAGCAAAGGTAACTATCCTATCACAGTTCCTCTGAATCTGTGAAAAGATCAATTATGTAAAATCCAGAAGGAATGGATTCTCAATAGAACAACGATAACAAAATGCTAAAATAGTTAGATGGATTTCAATCAGTTAATTTGATTAAATCATGATGTGATATTTGTATAAATGTTTGTTAATTAATATTCGTTCTATTACTGAGAGTTTTTGTACTATTATGAATGGTAACAATAGCATATTGCACTCAGATCCCAAAGTGTTTAAGTCAGATATATGATTAAGCTAGGCAAGTATGTTTGATGAATAATTAGGAAAAAAAAGTAAAAGTAAATTAGGCAAAACGATATTAAATATGATAACATTGCAATAATTTACAGATGTAGACTTTAGTCCTTTGTTTACAGCGCTAGATGATATTTTTGCATCAACTCAATAAGTAAAATAAGACGAGGCAGAGCAATTAGAAGCCTATTTCTATTAATTTTTGAGCGACTATGAGTTCTACTCTACTTAAGTTACTGAGTATACGATAAAAATCAACAATTAAACGATGCTTAAAGAACTTAAACTCAACTACAACGAACTGCATAGAATAATGATTAAGCCACAGCCAAAAATTAGCAGAATATGACTCTTCAATTTATATAATTGATTAGGTTATTGCTAAATTGTCAGTCCTTATCAAAGATACTCACTTGGATGAGCACTTCAGGGTAGTCTACATTATTAACAATAGATTTGCTGATTAAGAATAGGTAGGAAATGCAATTAAATTACTACATTCTTTAAAAGAAGATTTAGTAGCTTCCGAAAATAAGTCTTGTAAATGAATGCATAATTAGAAAAGGACAATAATAATGGAATGTTGAATTCTTTGGAAGAGACTATCAAATTGTTGAATACTGAAATTCTACTATAATTGAAAGCAAACATCGAAAATAAGGATGGAGAAATTAATACTAAATAAGGGTTATTATCAGATGCCTAAGGCAATTTAAGTGCTGCTCAAAAACAATCTTGATAATGTTAATACTGAATTGGCAGCCAGGTATTCAGATTAAAATTATTAAGAAAATAACAAAACAAAGAATTGAATGATGGATGGAATAATGAATTAATGTTATTGTCTTAAGCAGAATCTGCCTTGGGAAAGGCGGAATAAGAAGATGATCAAAAACAACAATATATTGATCGCACACAAATTATATTATAATATTTATTAATTTTATTTGTGATGAGAGGCTTCTTTGCCATTACAAGGGCTTTTATTGCCCCTGTTGCTAAATAGACTTTTCATTTCTCCTCTTAATAGTCGAAAATTCAAACAAGAATGTATGATACAATATCACTATCACAAGAGTCATAAACTAAATAAACTAGCTGATTAGACTATCCTCTACCATGTCTGGTTTAAGGATTGCGAATTAATATAATTTATCATTGTTTTCCTTATTAGAAGATGCTTAAGGTAATATCTAAGAATTAATATTATTAGGTAAATTAATATTTATGAATTAGAAGATGACTTGACTGACTTAGAGAACAAACAAATGGGTTTACAATTAAAATGTACGGTTTCCATCTGATCCGAAAACAGTATTATAAATATTATTACAATTCGAGTATTTTATTTTTTTTAATAATAATTACAATTGATTAAAACAATACTTTACATGTTGAATTTAAAGCCTACTAACTTTTAGATAGAAACGATTGAACTAGACTCTATTAGTAAAATGAGATATTTTCCATCATCCTGATTGAATTTATATCAACAAAAATAAAGATACGCCAATAGTTTATATTTGTAATCTACCAGTCTTATACTCTTAAAGATTCACCGAAGAGTAAATTTAATCATAATACATTAGACTAGAATCTTATTTATGTAGGCAATCATTCCATAATTTCAAAATTAAATTTACATGATTCTTTTTAAATAAATTTATGATATATTAATTATAAATATTTATTAAATTTCAATGAGTTTGAACATTTACAATGAAGAAGAAGAGCAGAGATATACCTGTGATGATCAATTAAACAATTCAGATAGAGATTATCCTCAAGCAACTGATTTGTATTACACAGTCAGCTAATCTCCTTAATAGTCAAAGGGTTCAAGCATAAGGTCACGAACTGGGTAGAGTAAACAGATCAGAAAAATGAAATACAAAAAAAACCTCCTATCAAATATCTAGTATGAAACTGAATGGAAAAGTAGTTATAATAATTAAATTTTTAGATTTTTTTATATAAAAGATCTCTTCAATGGATGAAGAAAGTCTATCTAATAATCCGGAAATAGATTTCTCACAAAAGGAATTGAAAACTCTCAAGAGGAAAATGAAACGCTTACACTTACAATGAACCTCTCATGTTAATCTCATGATGAATTAGTTATTTATATTTCTTTTTATCGAAACCTCATAACAACAATTTTAATGTTATTTTTATTATATGCCTAACTGTATAGTAACTTCCTTTCATTGAATTGCAGCTTTATGAATTGATCGTGGTAAAAACATATACTTCGTTAATATTCATCCCCATTATATTTAAAAAAGACAGTATTTATAAGAATGTGTAATTACACAACTTTGTAATTTTATGAGTTGATATGTGAACTTATGTATGTCAGAAATTATCCTACAATAAAATGTCATTAAGAAACCTCCTAATTCGAGAGAGAAGTGAGTTGTTTTTTTTATGATGATATTTTCAAAAAAATGGATAAACTACATGGGAAACAAAATTATAATTAAAATTATTTGCAATATTTTAATTCATGATATAGACAGACGCTATATAACATTAATGATTCAAAAAATGCTCAAAGTAAAAAAAGTACTTACATTGTTAAAAAGGCCTTCGTTATTAATTACAAATTCATATATCAAGCATTAAAGCATTTTACTAAGCAAGAAGTAATTTAATAATTTAATTTTGTAAATTTAATAAATCTGATCTATGCTTCTCTATAAAGCTGTAAATATAATTTTTTGATTCTAGCTTAAAACTGAAGATGAATACCAAAGACTGTAACTTGTAAGCGAAGGCATCAAAGCAATAACATCCGAAATGCCTAAAATCGAGACAATTGAAAGCACAGCTCCCATAAAATTCTGTAAATAATTTTACTAGCTTAATTAGTAATTTGTTGCTACCCCTTCCAAGAGTAGAATATCGATATGCTGATCTCAGCATTTTTTGATTATTACAAAAATGAGAACTTCTTTTGGGCATACACCTAAGCAATCTCTTAGATTGGAGAATTTTAGGAAAGCAAGGCTGCTGGATATAAGAAATAATCAATATTTGATGTTTATCAAAGAAAATTGTAATATTTTGATATATTATAAGAAAGGAAGGTAAAACTGGTTTAGACCATTTTTATAACTTTTCTGATTCGGCTCAGCAATAAATGACAAAAGTTAAGTTGTATGTATGTACACATTTCTCCAAATACTTTTCGCTGGCTCAAGATTTAAGAATCGATATGTCAAGAATTTACGATATATACAGGATTTATTTGCATAATACAAATAATAAGGAATTGATATTTGAATTAATTGAATCATTTGAGAATTTGAAAAAGACAACATTTAAGAATTTACCTTGGATTGATACATTCTAGTCAGAAATCGATATATATAAGCAAACCTTAATCCCATCGAGATTTAATCTAAAACTCAAACAGAATTAACAAAGCTTGCAACAGCTTTATGAATAATACAAATTATAAATGGAAAATCCATCATTGCAGAATTAAAACTCAGAAGAAAACAGCCCTTAAGTAGATTAAAAGGCTGTTCATAAATAGCAAATTGAACAATATTAAATAGCATTATGCAAATAAAACTAAGTCAATCTGATTGATGATTCGATAGATTTATATTTATTCCTGAAATTGATCATTAAACCACAGAAGTATGAGTTAACCAATGACTGGAATACTAAATATGGTGAAACAACCCTTGATAAAGACTATTAAGGATTTAAAATAAATTAATCTGAATTAGAAGACTTATTTATAATAAGATCATATAAGGCTTTAAATTCAGTTTTACATTGTTCGAAATTAGAAATCTTGAAACTCAAGATGCAAAATTTATTACCAAAAATATGTAAATCAAATATATTTTAACTAGTTCATCTCATATACAAGGTACTCCGAGATCCAGAAGAAAATGTTAACTTGTATCATTTAGGCTCATTAATAAATAAAATGTTAGAAATGTGCCCGAAACACGCAATATATTAAATAATTAAATTAAATCTACTGTTCTCTTTTACTTAGTTTTTTTATAATACATCAATTGTTAATGTAGTATTAGAAATTTTGGATTTTGATACCGATAAATATCAACTTGGATATTTTGTTCAGGAATAGGTATGGACTTATGTAAATGATACAGATTGGTTCTAATATCTATTTACATTTCTGTTCAAATAGAACATCGATGTAAGTAAAAAAGATGAAAACTATCAGAGCGAAAGAAAAGTATAATATATAAATAATTCAATTTAGACTCAAGTTTTGAGTATGTTACAATCATTAAATCGAAACCAAAGAGGTTCCATAAAGTAATAAGTGACAGTCAATCAATCTTATTTCTTTTAAACTTTCAGCACAGGTGATAAACTGAATGAATTACAATCATATGATTTCTTAAATAGCAAAGATATAGATAATTTAAAGCATTTCAACGATGATAAATAAAATTTTGATCCTCAAAAGATGGAAAAAATGATTGAAGAACACAAACAGAATTAAGCTGCAATAGAACCCAAGGTCCCAATAGAAGAGCAAAATGTAACTTAGCAAAGAGTATCTAAATACGGAAGATAAATAATTGAAATACCTCCAAAGAAAAAATAAGTTTCATTGCCTAAAATCAACACCAATTCTCTTAAATCTCCTCTCAAAAATGTAAATTCTCCTTTGTCAAGAGAAAGTTCCAAAAATCTATCCCTGGATAAGGATGCATAATTGAGTTAAAAATCTAAATAATCTTCTTCAAGCTTAAGGCGATCAGATAATCAGGAGGATACGTTATCGTAAAATAAATTAATTAGAATCTATTAGGCAACAAGTAAAACCAATGCAAGTTTGTTTAAATAGAATTAATAAAGTATTCAAATCAAAGATATTGGATTAATGGAATCACTTTAATTTATTCATAGATTATTGGGTTCATTATAATAATTCTAAAAGAAATTCTTAAGCCGTAAGGATTGTAATTTGGTAGAAAAGACTAGCAAAATATTAACTACAGAAAATTTAGTACAGATCTTTTAAACTTTTGTTAGCAAGATTATGAAAGATGATTATGGTTTAATTTGTGGCTAAATAGTAAATACTATATTTACAATGGTTTTGAATGAGCATTTAGATGTCTATTATGAATTGCTGAATGAATAATTTTATAATTTTATTTAGGAAATAGGAACTTTGATTTTACTGTTAGAGAAATAATAGAATTTAGGGTTTAAGAGACATCTAGTCTCATCAATTTATTTTAATGGATTTATTTTGAATAATTAGTTGAGACAAAATTATTTAGAATCTAATGTTTATAAATATTTAAGTAGTAAAATATTTAATTAACTACAATAATATTTAGTGAATTATCCTGAGAATAATAATTATTAATTATAATTTACAAAGTAAAAGTTTTATTGATTCCTTAGGTTTTTGAATTGTGTATTTTCCAAAGCTCCCGCTTATTTGATTCAGCAAATTTTGTTTAATTATGGTTTACTTTAAGTTTTGTTTGAGTCATAAAGAGTAATAATCCTTAATGACCTTCAAAATGTTCAGAGCTCTTTGCGCTACTTTGCAATGCAAATAATATATTTAATTAAGGATATTTTATAAAAAAGAAGCATGCAAGTTATTCTAGATAATCTTTAACCTCTTGATCTATGGTACAAACTATGTAAAGCAACTGAGAATTATAAAATTGGGCATTTGGAAAGTCCAATAATAGCTGAACCTCCTAAAGAATCAAGATAATACTAAAAAAAATAATATTAGAGATAGCACTAATTTAAAAAGTAATAAACTGAATAAAAACTTGAATTATCGGAAAGATCTCCAACAGAATTATGTTTAACTCCAGATCTAACACATAGAACCTTAAAAAACTATCGGTTGCGTAAGCCATTTGATTTATGATATATTCATATTTTTCATTTTTTTGTAACCTTCCAAACGAACACACATTAGTCTTCACCACCAGTTGAGATGATTCTCGAATCATCTTTCGTCCATTTGACATTCGTAACATGGGATGAATGTCCTGTTCCAACGACTGCTTCAGATGATTTCTTTAAGCTTGGGAATCTGAGTATTCTAACATGGCTGAAATCGTCTCCAGAAGCAAGCAAATGGTAAGAAGTTTTAGGATCATTTTTTCCATTTATAGTAGTATTGGAACGATCAACAGCATTAATATCAGTACCATCAGCACATTCAGGCCAAATACCTTAGACTGGCCATCCAAGAGTGACTGTCCAAGTGTACCATAATTCATCTTTTAAGGCCGATGCTCCACCAGGTAACTAATAATAATTATAAATAATACCTATTTGCATTATGCTACATCCCAAAATAAGAGTTCATAAGCTCCACAAGTGGAATGCAAATTAACACCATCCCTACTAAAATCAAAATGAGTAATGTATGATGAATGTTTTTGCATTTTTTTACCTATTGCTTTCCATGAAGGATATTTATAGGCATATAACGCATTATCATGTGAACCAATAACACATGTAGTGCCATCAGGAGAGAATTTAATATCACTGATCCATTCTTTAGCCTATTTAAAGACTTTAGTTTGATTAAATTCAGCATCATATATTCTAATAGTACCATCCTTCATTCCTGCAGTGAACCCTTCATCTTTTGGATTTGTACTAACAACACGTGCTTTACATTAATCAGTAAAATCTCCAGTATTGAGATCTCTCTTCTCTTCTTTGCCATCAGCAGTCAAAAGAGTACTACCAATTTTAACTTATTTCCTATCAGCAATAGACCAAACACGAACAGTTCCATCATCAGAACAGGTTACAAATTTATCTTAGTCTTCTTAAAATATATCCAAACCCCAAACTTCATTGGTCCATTTCAAATTTGGACAGAAATGGCCTCTCATGAGATTTGTTACCTAAAAGTCTGTTTAACTATTAATGGCTCCACCATCCCAAGAGAATTAATAAATTTCACTACCCAATGTTCCAATCAATAATTTAGAATTTGGTAAATCAGCATAAATAGCTCTGACACTAGGACACACAGAATCCGGACACTTTTCTTTCACTTTAACAGCCAAGATTTCTTCATAATTTTTACTTAAAACAAAGAATACTCCATCTCTTCCTCCTGAGAAAACATAATCTTGTGTAACTGTAATGCAATCACATATTTGAGCATGTTTACTAGGTAATGGTTTCATAAATGCTTCTCCCTTCCATACTTATATGCATCCATCTGCAGCTCCACATAGAGTATCATTTCCATTAATCGCAATTCCTGATAAATTGTTACTTGCTCCTTTTCCAAATTATCCCTTCTTTCCTTAGCATTTTCCATTATCATATTTCCAACATTTATAATGTTTAACACCAACTGTCACAAATGCATCATCTGTATTCCATCTTAAATCAACAATAACATCTGGTCCACTCTTGTCTGACCACAATACTGCTCCTTTACCACTTACATCAAAGACTGCCAAAGAATGATCAACATCAACTGCTCCAGCGACTAATCTTTTGCCATTAGGAGTAAATGCCATCGCTATGATACCTTTTTATAAAGGGGCTTTGAATTAGCATTTCACTTCCTTGGTCTCAGCATTCCAAACAAAAATATTTGGTTTTGCACCTAATTCACCAGTAGCTACTGTCATTCTGTCTACAGGATTCAAATCTATTGCTGTGATATCATCTTCATGTTTATTGAAATAAGTTTAGGTATTACTTCCAACATCTAAAACTATTCCTAAGGCTGCTGCATTATATAACACTTAGCCGTTTGCTAAAAAGAACAAATTATTTCTCATATCTTTTGTACGATAACCATGTACATATTCAATTTCCAAATCACATTTTGGTGGTTTATGTCCATCTGTTTTACTTGAATAATATTAGTAAGTTGGTTCTTTAATTGCCCCCATCCATGGTTTACATGCCATAAATTAATCTCCTTCATCGGTTTCCTCTTGGGAGAATACTGAATTTTCATCTTGTTATATTTATTTTTTAGGAGGTGGTTAAGCCTTCTTCTTTTTTACAGGCATATCAATATCATCCGCTCCTTCTTCCTTACAAAATTCTTACAAATTAACTTATTCGACTTTTCCTTAAGCACTTCCGAAATCAGTTTTCCATACAATAATTGATTTATCATTTCCACCAACAGAAATCAAGAAATTATCATCACATGTAAATCTTACTCTCATAACATGAGAAGAATGTCCAATATATTCTTTTCTCTTTTATTTGGGTACAACAACAGGATAATTCATCAAGACAACATGTTGAGTATCTTCACCAGATACCAAGTATTTTTTGCTATTGCTTCTACAAACAGTATTGACATCACTGTAATCAGCTGAAGGGAAAATACCTTGAACGGGCCATCCCAATTTACAAGTCCAACTAGCAAATTCTGTGTTAGCTTAACTAGAAGATGGTTGATTTTTCTTGGCATTTACATCAACATACTTAAGTTCATAAGCTCCACTATTGACAATTACAATAGATGAATCAACTGACCAATCCAAAGCAGTCAAGGCTGATGTTAAACCACATTGAATTTTAGTTCCCTATTTACCAAATTTTGGATATTCGATAGTCCATACTTCCAAATGTGATGCACCACCATGAGCACCAAATGCTACCTTTTTACAATCTGGTGATATCTTTAAATCATCAATCCAATATGTAGATTGTCTCTTGGGCATTGTAGTAAAGATGGTCTTAGCAGTATCCATGATTTATAAAGTATTTGGATCTAATAAGTATACAAATCCATTGAGATCACCACAAACTATAAATTTACCATCAGTCGACCAATCAACAGCTCTAACCTCACTTGGGAATGGTTTACTAACACAAACCATCTTCTTTTAATCAATATCCCAAACTCTAACTGTCTTATCACCACCTCCTGTAACATATTTGTGTCCAGTTGGAGCAGCACAGGCTCCCCATAATTCTTCACCAAAATGACCTTACACTACAATACTGGTTTACTTCTTGGCTGGATCATAAGAGAATATCTAGGCACCATTTGTACCAAACAACCATTATTGAGTTTTTTCATTGTAATCCATAGCAACAACTCCAGGCGGGAACAGTGGATTGGTAGCCAAATTGATAATTTCTTATTTTTTTACCAACTAACCTCCTTCATATCCCCATGAGATCACTTTGCCATCTAAACCACCAGAATATAGTAATTTCTTGGCCTTATCCATAATGAATGAACACACTTTGCCTTCATGACCCTTGATTCCTTTATCACTACTTCCACCTTTCCAGCAGAACAATGTTCCACTGCCTCCTCCTGAAACAATGACTTAATTGTCAAAAGCATAAGCGACAGAGAATTAAGATTCGAATTTACCTTATTATTAACCCATTTTGCCTTAGACATTACGTCCACTTATCTTCCAAAACTTTATGTGCTTGTTACCTACTGTCACAAATTCTTCATTGTCCTTCCAAGCCGCTCCATTAACCTTTGCCTTATCTATGTTGGATGTACAAATTTATCTTTTTCCTTGCCAATCATATATGGCTAATGAGTTGTCATCATCTTAACCAACTGTTAGCAATAAAGATCCATCAGGTGAAAATTTCAAAAGCACTATTGCTCTTAAATGGAATTGATTGAAATTAGCCAACACTTCCTTTGAATCGATATCCCAAACGAAAATATCAATACATTTAGCCTTACCTGCCTAGGCCATTTATCCTGTGGCAGCTATGTTTCTATTTGGATGTAAAGCAAAACTCACGATGTCTTCTTCATGCTTATTAAAGAATGCTTATTGTTAAGTCTTGGGATCAACCTCCACTCCTAAAGCAGCTGATACAAAAACAACTTTATTTTTATCTGTCCAACCTAACATGTCTCTGCATTCATCCAAAATATAAAAGAATCTGAATCCATGGATATGATATAATGACAAATTGCCTTTGGGTTCTTAATTATCTCTAGCCTTATTTGGTTTATACCAAGATGGAACTGAATGTTAAACTTCACCTAAAAATGGCTTCACAGCTCCTATCATATCACCCTTATCTAATTCTTCTTATTCAAACATGGCTCCACCAACATTTTCTTCAACTTTTTCAGGCTCCTCTTGTATGTCTTAAACATCTAATCGAGATGGAGAAAAGATATATCTCCATTAAAATATTGATAGTTCATCCCCTCCAACTGAAATGATGTGCTCACCACTGTTTGTGAATTTAACACCACAAACATATGAGGAATGTCCAGTATATTTAATGCATCCACTCTTTTCTTTTGGGCAAGGATATTTGAATAATTTGATTTTACCAAAGTCATCACATGAAACCAAACATTTACCATCTTTTGATCTATCAGTGGCATTTACATCATCACCATCAGAGCAATCTGGCCATATGCCTTACACTTACCATCCATAAATACAAGTCCATGTGAACCATTAAATATCTTTGGCAGCTTCAAATGGCACTGGCTATCCTGAACTTACATCATAGAATTCAATAGTATAATTGCTTGTATTTAATTGGATGAATTTACTATCTGCAGAGAAGTCTAAGGTATACACATGATATTTGCAATTAGGTATTTTACTTTGTTTTTTCCAAGTTTTTGTTGAGTAGAAGGCAATTTCAGAAAATGGTGGCTTGTAACAAACACACAAAATTTCATTATTGGGTGAGAATTTAACCAAAGAAACAATTTCTTTATCAGGATCAACTACTTCAGTGATTTCCGATATTTTTTTTAAAGAACTTGCATCATAGATGAATACTCTTCCATTAGCACAACCAGTGGCAACCCATTTACCATTTTGACTAACACTCAATGTTTTGCTAGCATATTAATTAGGTGTTTATTTAAGTAATTTCTTCTATTTGACATCCCACATACCCAACATTTCATCT